CCCGGTCGCGATCAGCTGACCGCGTCTGGTCACTGAGTGCCGAAGGCTGCGCACTGTTGACAAGGACTCACCGGGCCCAAAAGTTTTTTGCGACATGTGTTGATGTTCTTCAGGCGCTTTGTAGCCTTGAAGGAATCGAAGCATCGGGCCTCTTCGCGCAGGGATCGGCGGTGTTAACTCTCGTCACTTTGTTCTCAGTCGTCAACATGCTCGTGTGACGTCAGCTACGGCGGGGTCACTGCGCTCTGTTGCGCTCGCAGGGACTCTCGTAAATCGCCATAACTTTTGCTAAGTTCACGGTCGAGATCATTCGCATGACTCTCCTGTGCACCTATAAGGATGAGAAGTCAGCGACGAGAATAGCTCACGGTTCCGTGTTGCCCGTATTCGTCTCTTCACTTCACTTCTCACCTTTTTCTTTCTTTCTTTCAATCTGGTCCGGTACTAGAACCATGTTTTATTTTGCTGCATTACTAGCTTTCGCTCTCTCTCAATCTGCTACAGCCCTTCCATATCCGGTCATCCAGTTCAACAATGCTAGCCTCGCTCGTCTTCCCGTCGCCAAGACCGTTGCCGCATCGAGTGCGCTTCACCTTGTTACCAGCGATCGCGCGCGAACGGCGCGCCTGAAGGCGATGGGCATGGCGGCAGCTACTGGGACGCCCTTCACGGAGGGTACGCTGGAGAGCGTTCCTGCTGTAAACCAGGCGGTCACATATACTGTGAACGTCAGCGTCGGCGAGCCCGCCACCGTCTGTACGTCTGGAGCTGTTTCGAAGCATTGTGCTATCTCAAGCTAACTGTCCGCACAGTCAGCTTGATTGTCGACTCTGGGAGTAGCAACACTTGGGTTGGTGCTGGCACCCCGTACGAGCCGACTAGCACTAGCGAAAACACTGGAGAGATAGTGGTACGCCGTGCATCAGTTTCTGTGGATGCGTCCTCACTCCTTCGTAGGAAGTGCAATATGGATCTGGCCTGTTCCTCGGTAAGGAGTTTGACCGTGAGTCTGCAAAGCCTGTATTCACTGACATAACCCTCACAGGCGAGGAGTTCACTGACACCGTGACTCTCGGAAACAACCTCACTGTCGCTAACCACTCCATCGGAGTGGCGACAGAATCCACAGGATTCAACGGTGTCGATGGTATTCTCGGGTACCTTCCCTTCCCGCCTAGCTGCAAAAAGCAATGCTGATTCCGCTTCGCCGCAGGATCGGTCCAGTAGCCCTCACTGCGGGTACATTGTCTCCAGATACTGCGGACACAATCCCTACTTTCACGGACAACCTCTTCAGCGCTGGCCTCATTGCTGATAATCTCGTTGCCGTCTCATTCGAACCGACCACGACCCTGGACGCCACGAACGGCGAGCTCACCTTCGGCGGTACAGACCCAACCAAGTATAACGGCAACATCACATATGCGTACGTACCAGGCTGTCCCATTGATGCATGTGCCACGCATTGACTCTTGTACAGTCCTATCACTTCTACTGCACCGTCGAGCTCATTCTGGGGCATTGACCAGACGGTATCTTACGGCAACCAGACGATCCTCCCTCTCACTGCCGGCATTGTGGATACCGGAACGACACTTGTTCTCATTGCAACCGGTATGCCGGAAGTCGTCTGCCTTTGATCATACTTCAAACTCACGTCCACCCAGACGCCTTCGATGCTTACCAGACGGCCACTGGTGCTACCCTTGACGAGACCACTGGTCTTTTGACAATCACGGAAGATCAGCTTGACGATCTTCAAAGCCTCTACTTCGACATCGCTGGCGTACGTAGTTGTGGTTAGTACACCCTCAGAGCACAACTGATCATGTCCCCAGACCACCTTTGAGCTTGTCCCCAATGCGCAGATATGGCCTCGCGCGCTGAACACCGCTATTGGCGGCACGAGCGACGGTATCTACCTCATTGTTAGCGATCTCGGCACCCCGTCCGGGCAAGGCTTAGACTTCATCAACGGCCAGTCGTTCTTGGAGAGGTTTTACGCTGTATTCGACACCACGAACGAGCAGGTCGGCATCGCAACGACCGACTTTACGACCGCAACGAGCAACTGAGGCGATATTACGGACTCATGCACACGGACATTTGTTTAGACTGGCTTGTATCCTTATGTACCATTTATGTAGCAGCACGTACTCTCAGACACAACGTTCTCGAAGATAACGCTTATCAGTCTATAACTTGAGTTATTGCCGAGCATTAGCAACTTAGATTGTAAGACTTTTACAAACGACATGAACGGACAAATATGGTTACAGGATCCGATCCTTAAGATGTGGCATAAATAAGCAATGTGGAGTCGGAGTAGCAGTCGAAGGTCTTAGAGGCGAGCCTTGACGTTGTACTTCTTCAAGAGCGCCTCCTCACGCTTCTTCTTTTCCCCGTCCTTAGTGCGCAATTGAGTGGCGCGCTTAAGCTCGCGCTGGCCAATCTGCTGAAGATGGACTGCGTCCGGGCCCTACGAGACGATGCGTCAATCACTCCCCAACGCGGAACTTGAAATCTGGCTAGAGAGACTCACGTCGGCAATCCGCAAGGTTCGAAGGTTAGCCCAGTCCGAAGCGAGGAATGTATCTTGGCTGACACCCATAGCGCCAAAGGACTGTATGGCGCGGTCGACGACTTGGAGCGCCATCGAGGGCACCGTGAACTTGGCGATGCCGATTTCCTTCAATGCACCCTTCGCTTGCGCCTTGTCTATCTGAAGAGCGGCGCTGTAGACGAGCAAACGCGCGCCTTCGATTTCTGCGCGTGAGCTGGCAATATCGGATACCACAGTGCCTGGAGGCATATGAGTGTACATCCATGAGATAGGATGAGGGATCTTGTACCATGCTCGTAGAGAACCCTCCCGAACGTCTTGCGCGACGGGTCTGTGACACGTAGGATCATGGTGTCCAGCGCTTGTGCGGCGACGCCAATGGAGCGCATGCAATGGTGAATACGCCCAGGGCTAAGGCAAGATGTCAGTAAATGCTGAGTATAGAAGATGTCAAGACAGCATACCCCAGACGGCCCTGAATGATCTCGAATCCGCGACCCCAACCGAGAACGAGGTTCTCCAGCGGTACACGCACATCCTTGAAGATAATCTCTGAATGACCGTGCGGCGCGTCATCGTAACCGAAGACACCCATGTGGCGCACGACCGTGACGCCAGGTGTGTCGGCTGGAACAAGCACGACAGACTGCTGCTTGTGCGGGCTCGCATTGTTTGGGTCGTTCTTACCCATGACCAGGTAGATAGAGCAACGCGGGTCGCCTGCGCCGGAGGCAAACCACTTATGGCCATTGATCACAATCTGGTTGCCCTCTTTGACGAGAGACGTCTGAATGTTCGTGGCATCCGATGAGGCGACTGCGGAGAACACCATCTTAAGGAAACTTTCCCATCATAAGTGTAAACTCCTTACCGAAACGCTCTGTCATAGCGAATGCGGAACGAATCTTCCCGTCCAGCAAAGGCAGCAGCCATTTCTTTTGCTGTTCAGGGCTACCGTACCTCGCCAGCACCTCTGTACGCACACACCAGTCAGCGATTATAATATCTATGACCTCTCAGTGTACGTACCCATATTTCCGGTGTCCGGAGCGGCGCAGTTAGTTGCCTCAGAAGCAATGTTGCCGTACCGGCCGAGCAGCTCAGCCATGACCGCATACTATCACATAGTCAGCCCTCATTCGCCACAACTGAGCGGGCTCCGGAAGCTCATACCTCGAGGTTAGTGAGCGGTACTCCGTGTTCAGGGTAGTGCGCCTTGCTCAAGAAGAGGTTCCAAAGTCCTAGCTTCTTCGCCTTGGCCTTGAGATCCTCAGTAACGGGGATGATCGTCTTCCAGCGTTCAGGGCCGGCGGGGAGCTGGGCCAGTGCCACATTACGCGCGGGGGCGACTTCCTCCTACAGAAAAGTGAGCATTGAAGTCATTCTTTGTATAGGGAGATGCGTACCTCGAGGAACTTGATGAGCTTGTCGAGTGTCTCGCGCGCGAACGGGGAGAACTTGTCCTCTACCTACACATCAGCCGTCAGTTTTTGTATATGTACCACAGCGCAAAGCTCCGTACCATGGCCCATGAGGAGGGCGACGTGTACTGTACGATAGGATGTGCCATGGTGGTTCAAGTTCAAGCAAAAAGCAGCTGGCCCGGAGAGCGCTTACCCCGCATTCTGTCGCTGCGCGCTTATGGGCCCGCGCTGAGACCGGCTCCGGCCATCACAATGCCCGGAATCTCGTCCACTTGACCTCCCGCGCATAACAGCAGCGAGAGCAACAGATCATGCGGTCGAACGTAGAGAGGCACAAAGGCCGGTACGCCGAGACACGTCTGGGCAAACGACGGCGTGATCGCCGAGATGGGAGAGCAGAGGAAGATGTAATAGCAGATTGGTTACTGAGGGGGTTGGGCCTGGGCACCTCGGTATATACATGGATATTCGACAAGCACGAAGTCCAAATACACAAACACACTTTGTAAGAAGAGTAGTGTCATGGGTGAGTAGGTAAGGTAAAGTACACAGTTACATAGACGTTGCATTCAGGGTTCGAAAGCAGCTAAGTACAGTTGACAGTATTCCGGCGCGTCCCGCAAACGTGTCCTGGTATGGCTTCGGTGGCAACTGGAGTATTGAGGGAAGGAAGCAGGTAATCAAGAACGAAGTCAAGAGTAAGGGTTGGAGGAGTTGAAGTCAAGTCAAGTCACAGTCCTTCATGTCTGCATCGGCGCATTACCGTTGTTATCACCATTTCCATAATCGAAACCCTCCAAGCTGAACGGGATGAAGGGATCATAATTGAAGGCGCCGGTATCGAAAGCGTTAAACGCATGCGCCTCGCCGTCGCCTCCAGTCCCACCGTTCATCCCGCTCCCGTTCCCGTCAAAGTTCCGCAGATAGTCGAACCCGTGGAACGGCAATCCTGGAGCGGGGAAGTTCGCGCCAGGTGCGAGCCCATACAGCGCGTTGGCGCCTCCCCCTCCATATAGTTGTGAGGGGTCGATCGTTCCCTGATCGCTGCCGCCGTTGCTCGTCGTACCTCCGACATGTGCGCCAAAGAGCTGGTCGAACGATGGTTGGCCCTCGACGCCTGGGGTGCCCGGTGCACTCCTGTAAGCGGCGGCCAAGTTCGGGTCATACGCGCCCCAGCCATCTGTGCTCGATCCGAACTGGCCAGTGTTGCTGAGTGCCCCGAAGTCGAGATCGTAGTTTGCTGGTGACTGCAGGCCGGGTGAATGCAAGGCAGGAGAGATGGGCGAGGGGTGCATCGGGAACTGCGTATTTGGTGGCGCAAGTGTTGGTGGAGTACGCGCGCCCGTGGGTGGCAAGGAATCGATCAAGGTCATGCGCGGTGAGTGGAAGACGCTCCCGTTCGCAGAAGTCGGGCTGCTGAGCGCTGTCGCAGGTTGTGATTGGCGCCCAAGCGTCTGAGAAAGCTGGCGCCGGTGGAGAGACAGATCTTCAGTCTCGTCGTGCCCACGCTTGCGAGACGCCGAACGAGCACGATTCGCATCCAAACGCAGCGCAGCGGAGGGGTGCAATGGTCTTGAGCGAGCGTCCGGCGACATGTTCCTACTGAGTCTTAACTTGTTGCGGATAGGTTTGCCCGCCATCGAGCCGCCCGAATGCCGCCTCTCGCGGAGAGGAACTGCAGTACCAGGCTGCTGCGCGTAGTCGCGCGCAAAGGGACCAGTCCCAGGGGCGAAATTCGGTGGGTCCGTCTGCTGATTGGATACAGCCTCGCGCGCGGTAGTGGTGAGTTCTGTCAACAGTTCACGGCATTTACGCGCCCCAGGCCAAAGACCTTCCCAGCTTCGGACAGCTTCGACGCAGCTGTTCGCTTCGGAGAGGGCAGCCTGAGCAGCCGACTCATCTGTGACGTGCATAGCGTATAGAAGCACGATCACGGCGCAGGAGAAGAGGTGTTGAATGAAGAACGCAAGGTGATGGCTCGGAGCCACGACGGTCTTGATGAACGGGGCGAGACGGATGCAAGCGCGAGCCGAACTTAGAGCTTTGGCCGTACTACGCGGTGCAAGTGGCTGTTCGCGGCTCACTGGCAACATGTTCCGATGTAGTGCCGTCAAGACACTGTAATAGTGACTGCAGAGTACGGCGCCCATTGCAACTTGCATTTCGTTGACCATGTTCGCTTTGAAGACAGCCGGTAGCTCATCCAACCACCGTGTCAGCTCCGCGTCCAGCGTATCGACGTCGTTCTGAAGCTGCTGTCGTCGCTCGCCGTCTGCGAGATCTCCGGGAGGATTGACAGGGTACACCTTGCGAAGGACGCGCCCCGCAATACCGTAAAGCGAGATGAGCGCCGTGAATCCTGTCATCAGCGAGGGCTGCTGATCGTTCTGTATCGGGGCGCCCGCGAAATACGCGTTGAGGTTCTCATCATCGATCGCTATAGGCAACTCCACATCACAGTCGCGATCCTCGCAACCGATGGGCCTTCCAAGGGCAAGGGCAAGCATACGATCGAGCGTGTAAACGCCCCACCAGATCTTTCTCCGCGTCTCCTTCTCGAGAGCGGAGATACTGAGCTTCCGTGGGGAGCGCTAACATAATATTTAGCATAGATCAACACCACCTCAACTTAAGTCTACTCACGTGCATACCCAGATCTTGAGCGTGTCGCAAGGCTTGACCGACAAGAATCCACGCCTGGGGAAGGCAGTTGACAGAGCACAAGAAGCTCGACATGAGCACAAAGCACTGCACATGTGCCACTTGAATGCTGGCGTGCGAGATGTAGCTCAGGATAAGCGCGCGCTCGTAGTAGACCATGCCCATTCCACCGTCGTCTTCGCGTTCGCCCTTCAGCCGCGGATCCTCGACCAATTGCGCAGCACATGCAAAGACCGCGAATACTAGAGCAATCAGAGCCGTCTCTTTCCTCGCCAGGCCGATATCCAGTGTGTGATCCATGATATACGCGTACTGGCGCATGAAGGAAGGCTTGTCTACAACTGGACAAAGAAAGTGGAATCTGGCGAAGTATGCCTCAATCTACAAAGCGCAAGCGTGTCAGCCAGCGATCCACCAATAGAAGCCCGTTCAGATAAGCGCGATAGATGGTGTTCCCACGCCCAGGGGGCGCCACACGTATCGGCCCAAGCTGACGGGTCGAAGGACGTTGGAGCGTCGATGCGAAACTGAATGGGATGAAACGTACAAGCTTGTCCGCAAGGTCTCTTGGCGGGTACTCGACCTCCTCCGGCCCCGGTAACGCGCGTACTTTGCCAAAGAATACGGCAGCGGGGAAATATAGTCTATTCGGGGTAGTGTTATCGTCGACGACGGGACTGACGCGATATCGCGGTGCTGCCGTTGCGTGCTTGAAGCTATTGATGAGACTCATGGTACTGCTACCACCGATCCAGCGCATGTGCCCGTGTTCATCGAGCGCGAGCTGACCGAGGGAGTCAAGCACGTCGTCTTCGATCTTCACGCTGGCGCTCGAATCCGGAGTCGAGCGGTTATCCGCGGGAGGAGCGACCACAGCGGCGTCATCCTTATCGCGTAGCGACTGCAGCACGCTCGCCGCCGTTGCTGCTGCCGCAGGAGATATCGTAGGTAATGGCGCCGCATGGCCGTGTGTGGGATCGAAAGCTGGTCCCAGGGACGTCCCGGGTACGCTCGCTCCGACTTGGTCGAGGATGGGCTTGACCTGGGTGAACAATGACTCCATATGCAGGAGACGCGCCTCGAGCTCTTGTACATAACTACGGACTGGGTGAGAACAGAAATGGGCTGATCAAGAGACGTAATGCCCACTGCCTGCTTAGAGCCGCGCGATCCTTTGTCTGGACCCATATACACTGCGAGCCCGTAGACTGGCACTGGCTACAAGTAGGCTCGTTGCCGTCGCATTTGATCTTCTTTCGTCTATCTTTCGCGTTTCATTCTGCATCCCAGGCTAGTAAGGAAACGGAGAGGAACGTACCTGCACGACTCGCAAGCGCGCCACACGCGCCGACGCTGAAGTTGTACCGGGCGCTGGCCGACATCCGTGGGGAGCTCGTCCGCGTTGCCTATGCTTCCCGTCGTTCGCTTCTTCTTGTGCTGTGGTGTGCTAGAGCCAGGCTCCATGGTCATATGCGGGTTCTCACTCAGACGCAGTCGGGATGAGGGATCTGAGGTAGAGGGTGCGCAGACAATGAGCGCAGAAGGAGAGTAATGAATCGGCGTTCTCCGACTCATCCGTCCCGCTCTTCACTTGACATCTCAGATCACGCCCGACCACTAGCTCATTCCCGAACCACCTCCCCTGCTGACGACCGCCTCACAGCGCGCTAGGTAGATCTTCCTTTCACATGTACGTCTGCCTTTTGGCTGTATTGGGGGAAGCGTAGACGCCGAAGAGATCGCGGACAGGGGGCAGCGCGCGAGTGCGGGCGCTCGGGTACAACGTCATATCTTGGTATCCGCCCACGACGATCGCGAACACGGCAGCAAAACGGCAAAGACAGGATGGTATCGCATGGAGTAGCTGATAGCTGAGAGAGAGGGTCCTAGTACTACGATAGATAAAGATGTGTAGATAGACGAAAGGCAAACAATGTTTTGCGCATTCTCTGCCTGCTTGGGCTCGGCCCGAATCCCGACTTCGACGCCTAGCGATTGTGTAACGGAAAGAGCTTCACCCAAGGACCGAACGAAGGCGCGCGCTCATCAGGCGACCAGACCTGCTGAGCCCCAGCAGGATCGCCGAGCTCGCGTTGCGAGTACGCTCAGGATCGCAGCAGTCATGACGTGACGCTCACAGCACTCAAGTCCGGCTGTTCATGTGGTTCGTCTTCGCCGTAAAATGTCGATGCGCGCGGCGTCGAGTCTGCTCCTGCGGAGGTGTCGTAGGGGAATCCGGACCCGTGGACTGCCCAACCACCGGGCGCGTCCTGATTCACAGCCCCGACACCCTCCTTGACCGTCCCTCCGTGCGATTCATCGATGACTGCCAACACACTTCGCAATTTGCTCTCACTCCGGCTGTGGCCCTTGGAATTTGGCGGGCTTGACGGACGTGGTCTTGAAGCCGGGCGGGAAGGGGAAGGACTTCGGGGTGGGCTGGGGCTAGCAGGTGGTGAGTGAGCATCTGCCCACTCATCCGCCGCCGTATATCGTTGCGGGCTTTGCGTTGCCGCGCCTTCTGTCCAGTTTGATGCAAAGCCCGCAAATGACGCCCCGGCGTACGAACTCGTCGTCGCCGGTGCAGCCGCAGATGTAGAAGAAGAAGAGGGGGTAAACGGCGTTAAGATGTCGTGAGAAGGGGTGCCCGAGTGTGAAGACGATTGCGAGAGTGAAGGGCTAGGCGCCATGATACTGAGCGGCTGGAGAACGGAGAAGATGGTGTCTTCGGCTGGAGGCGACCCAAACTCGTTGAAGGGGTCGGGTATCTCTCGTAGCATCTAAACGCAGTATCAACCGCACGTCCGTAGAATTATATGGAGCGCGTACAGGTTCGAGAATAGGATCCGACGCTTTGGCCGTAAAGCGCTCGAAAACATCCATGGTAGATCGTACTAGGAGGCACACCTTCCCCTGCACGGCCTCCCAGACCTGTTCTTCGTGTTCGACGATCTGCTCGTAGTGCTCTACTTTGAGCTCATCTAATGAGTCGACTACGGGCGCTTGTCAATGACTGAGGACTGAGGAGCCTGAGCGCCACATACGTACCATGCCTTTGCAGACTCGTAAGCGCTTCTCGGAATGTCTGCATGTCTGACGTGCTTGTGAGTGGATAGGGTGATGGAGCAGAGGGCAAATACGCACTGCGCTCTCCCTTGCGCACATTGAAGTTGCGTTTCTCCAGATCGTGGATGACTTTGCTCTTTTCTTTGAGTGTACGCTCGTATGATGCCGAGCGCTCCTACACTATTGTGAGAACCCTGCAGGCACACGCAGTGAGGGCGCTAGCGCACCTGTACAGTGCTGCGATACGCATCGAGATGCTGCCTGAGGGGTTTCTCGAAGTTATTCTGGAGCGTTTCTGCCTATATAACACAATTAGTAAGGCATAGAATGGACCGTATCAGGATACGCACCAAGACAGCCCAATGGTTGCCAATGAGATGATGCAAACCAGATGCGGCTTGCAGTCGGGTACCCTGCTCATATGTAGGGCCCTTTAACCTGGTGACGATCACATAAGTGACAAGGACACGCGTGACCTTATGCGATACACACGTTGAGCAATTCTGCAGTGCATGAGCCAGGGCTGCCGTCGCCTGCGACATGCTTTGCATCGCGACCTCGTAGCTTGCCGCAGCATTTAGCAACTTTACATTCAAGCATAAGTCGCCCTGTATTCTGTACAAGCAACTCGATCACGCACCGACTCGTACGCCTGCGTACTCTGCTTCAAGTCTGCGCGAGTGATGATCTTGGACGGTCCGTTGTCGCCGAAGTTCATGGCGGAAGCGTTGGTAGCCTCCGAGAAGGTGGGTGAGGGCGGAGAAGTTGCGGTGGTCGCGGTCGAATTTCGCCTGGGAGTAACCGTCGAGGTGCTTATCGCGAGGGAACGTAGGGAACGTGCTTTGGGCATCGTGCAGCACAGCGACCGACCTCGAGGTGAGCGTGATAGGAGAGCGCGCTAAGTCGAGCTTGCGCAGCCAGGTTGGCGGCCCGCCTTTCCCGCGCGCTCTGCTTTAATTTGCCACAGGCCTCCATGCACCCCTTGTCCAGAGCAACTACAATCAAGAGGTGCAGGGTAGACTCTGTCGATTCCGCCTCCCCGCGGGCTGCCGCTCCCGAATTGTACTCGTTTCCAGCCAATAATCGGGACTAGGACGCCACGATCAATGTGAATTGAGTAAGTATATAGGCCTCAGCGACGGTTTACTCATCAACCCATCGAATCAGCACGGAGTAAGAAGATATTTGCAGAAAGGTTGGACAGAGATATGACGGCACCCATATTTCAGAGGATCACGGCGCTCCATGCTGCATTGTTCCTGGCACTGGGCACTAGCCCGTGTGTCTTCGTAATGCTCGTCGTCTATGACAGCGTGAACCATGTTAGCCGGCGAGCACTCAGCTCGAGCACTGCAGGCTCCGATCTATAATGTGGCAAAACGAATACATCCAAGTTGATGGCGGGCCTTGCCGAACAAAATGCACACGGCTGGTAGTATACCGCGGCTTTGACTCCGTACGTTCATCATCGACATAAAGCCACAGACACGCCTCATCGCCTCACCTGTAGCGCTTCTGCCCTCTAGCTAGCGGCGCTTGCTTATCTGCGCGGGTATCTCGCTCAAAGATATCGTGGTGAGGACCTTCGCGCAACCTTCGCGTCAATGATTTACAAGTCCGCCGAACCAGACCCACGCTAGCCGGCGCCCGCCAAATGGTCGACGATATAGAGAGGCGGGCTTTGTGTTGGCTGCCTTCAGATCGTATCTCGGGTCATCCGGGTTGATATCAGCCAATGGGCTGTGTGTCAAGTGTAGTGATTCAGCAAACAGGGTCATATGGTGACCATGCCTGGATTCACCCAGCCCTGTACCCTTAGCCGCACTACCGCTTGCATAGCCCGGCGCCAGTCCGCGCCGCAATGGCAATCAGTACATGGTGTGCGTCGGGTGCTGCCGCACTGCTAGCCACCGAGCCACATGTGTTCATGAATATTCGCAGTCAACGTTTCAATATCATCTCCGGTTGCCGATCCATCGCAGCTTAGCTCGGAACATTGTTGGGGTGTAAAGCCACTCAGAATTCCCATGTCCAATGCCCATCTTACACATCCTAAGCTCTTCACTGTGGGTTTATTACCTAGACGATTCAGCGCATCGAATACTGAGTCCCAGTCTTATCCAGAACCGGGCGGGCGTTTCACGCCGGGAAGCACACAGCACGGTGATTCTTTCCCGCTCACTACACCTCATCGCAGAATATGCGGCTTACGGCCTCGGACATCAAGCGCCTTCCGCGTGGATGAAGATTCCGCCGAATGGGATAGTCAACATCTGGCAGCGCATATCTAGCACGTCGTCCGCGCTGTTGCGCCCGCTCTTTCTCTCCCCTCGGGATCGCATGCTCCTCCACTTCGTCTTTGGGCTGACGGCTGTCACCTATGCCGCAGCTGCTGTCACACCACTACAGTTCACTGTTTATCATCCGCACGATCCCAATGTCATAGTCGGCGCAACTTCGTCGACATCTGGAACAGCGACCTCGACATCGCCGGGTGCCGCGGCAACCTACACCGGGGCTGCTGCTTACGATCCACGAACCCTCAGTCCTCCTGCCCCTCCGAATCCGCCTATCACAACTTCGTTTTCCGTCCAGCTTCCGACGGGTGGCATGCCTAACTTGTCTATTCCACTTGCTGGCTCGTTTATGGGTTTCTCTATCGAGATGTCGATCGCGCAACAGATCAGTACGTATGAACTCTTCGACTTTCTTCTTCCATTACTTACTCATGGACCATCATAGTTGGAAAGAATAGGTGCGGTGGTGTCCCACTGCAATTCGAGGCCGGTGGCTATGCTGAACATGGAACAGCTCGTTTTTGAACGTCCCGTTCTTAAATCTGATGTCAAATATCGTCGCTCGTGCGGGGTCTGTTGTGATCCGTGTTGGAGGAAATACGCAGGAGAACGCCGTTCTTGTGAATGAACTTCCGAACGGCACCATCATCAGCAAGGATACATCCGTCAAGGGGACACCTACCATCGACTACACCAGCGACCTCATGCAGATGATGGCGAACGTTTCGCAGCTGCTCAATGCATGGTGGTATCTTGGTTGGTGATGGATCTTTGCTACGTAGCACAACAGCTTACGTGTTCGCACAGGTATCCCATTCTTCAATACCACACCCTTCGACTTGAGCATAGCCCAGCAGGGCCAGACGATTCTCGGCGACCGGCTACTCGCACTGCAAGCCGCGAATGAGCCTGACTTATATTCCAAGCACGGACACCGGGATTCGGTGAGTCTGACTCTTGTCGCGATTTCGTGATGACTCACCCATTCGAAAGACCTACACACCTTCCTCCTATAAGGACGAGATCGGCGCGCTCATATCTCAGAGTGATAGCGATAACGGCATCCCGCGCAAAGATGGCCTTTGGCTTGTCGCGAGCTCTTCCACTGGGGAGTACAACGAAAACATCTGGAGCCCTGATGCCATATGGGCGACTGGTATCGTCGATGATTACGAACAGCAACTCAATGCTCTGACAGTGCAAAGGTACGTTCGGTCCGCTTAGACTGCTCTACGTACTCATCCAGCTGATAGGTATCCGAACAACAACTGCGCTGCCGTTTATGGCACTGGCACGCCCGTGGTACCCCAGGACGTGTTCGCGGATTATCTCACGCATACTGGTGTTGTCTCCCTGGCTTCACAGTACCTCACTTCCTCTCAAGTTGCTCTCAGTCACAGCAAACCACTCATTATGTTTGAAACAAACTCCGCGTCATGCAGTGGATTCGTTGGAATTTCCGATGCTTTCGCCAGTGCGCTGTGGGGCTTAGACTGGAGTTTGCAGCTCGCGGCCACGAATTTCACCGGCGCTCTCTTCCATGTCGGTGGACAGGGCGCATACTACAATCCGTTCACTCCTCCGCCTACGAACCAAAGCTCGTTCAGGCAATGGTCGGTTGGGCCTATCTACTACTCGGCGTTAATCATGGCGGAGGTACTCGGTGCCAGCAATCAATCCCGCGTCGTCGATCTCAATATGAACAGCGGTCAGCCTCTGACGCCAGGATACGCGATATACGAGGGCGCCACTCCGACAAAAGTTGCCCTGATTAACTACATCGACGACCCTTCGGGCGCGCAGGCCTACACGGCGCAGATCACGCTAAGCGGTGCATCGCCTTCATCAGTACGGGTCAAGCGTTTGAGCGCTTCTTCTGTCTCGCAGAAGGGTAACTATACGTGGGCTGGGCAGGTAAAGTCGCGCGCTCCTTTCGCATTGTACATATTCCTGACGTTTGCCAAAGACGTTTGGGAACAACTTTGAGTCTGACGGGCGTTTGATGGGCGTGGAGAGCGTCGACACGGTTCAGTGCAGCAACGGAGTCTGTTCCGTCACCGTTCCTGCACCTGGCTTCGCACTCGTCTTCTTGACCGACAACGCGTTCTCCGCAGTAGAGGATATGACACCGATGACCTTCCCCACGACCGCGGTGACTGCCACTGTCAATACCGCGCACGTTGTTCCCAGCGTGCTGGCCTCGAGCAACGGGCACCACGACATGACGGGACAGTGGGATACCACAAGCCCTGGTAGCGCTCAATCGGTTTTCAGCGCAGCAAGGACAACGCGTACCTTTCCCAGCGTGGGGATCCTGCTCGGTATAGCTCTTGGCGCTGCGCTACTTGGCACACATTAAAGTGCTTTTTCCCCTATGAGGTTATTACTGAGTATCATTATGGACTGAGGCTCAAACTCGGACTTGTGCCGTCGCTTTGTTATCTACTGTTAGATCTTGCATCATGTATATTACGCACGATTATCCTTACGACACTATCTATAGCGGTATAATACATCGGCGTGGGCTAAAGCCATAATTAGCTTTTGTGTGGACTTCTCGGCGTGACGAGGGTGACAGTTCGTGTCAAAACTTCGAGGTTGCGGCACGCGGCAACTTTCCCGTGTACCGCCACCACCCGCATTCCGGGACACGGACGTGCAGCCGTGTGATGGCGCATCGCTTCCCAGAGCACCATACTTATACCTCTACGCTTGAGCCGTAGATAAATTCGCACTTCACCCTCTGCCCATCTAACATGTCCAACCTTCTTGACCTGCCTGAAGAGATCCTCGAGATCATCATCTTCCTCGTCTTCACACCAGCATCATACTCCGGTGACGGTGCGAAGCTCGTCACGCTACTGCCGGTCTTGTCTGTGCACTCTGTGTTTTATCGCATTGGCGTTCCCCTCCTCTACCGTGCGATATCGCTTCCGAATAGCGAAACGGCATACCTCCTCTGCCGAACACTCGACACCGCACCCAGCTACGCAAAACATATCAGGGTGCTGCATGCAGCTGCTGTTTTCCCTTCACTGCCCTTCATACTCCGGTACATCGCATTGGCGGAAACGCACCTGGACGTCCTCTCTCTTGCGCTGGATGCGCCCTCGAATGCGCAGTTGGCGACCTTTGCGTTGAAGCATGCCGTGGAACTCGAAGCGTGGTCGCTGGATGTAGGGAATCCCGGACTTGCGATATGCCGCGCTATCGCTTCAGGGCTTTTACAGCTCAAACCTGGCCCCCGCGAGTTCGTCATCTCCCGCAATCGACCTCCTCTTCCTCGGGATCGGGAGCGTCTCCAAATGCTAGATGCAGCTATCGGAGAGACACTCCCGACATGGGATGGTCTTCGTTCTATTGTCATTGCGTTTAGGCTACCGGGTGATAGTAGCATGCCCGCTGGCCTTGCACGCGCACCCAGGCTTGAACGCATCCGGACACCATTGCCGGCCGTATGGCACGAAGCTTTGCTCATCGCTTCTGGCAATCCCGCCCTGAAACGACTAGCCGTGACCGTGACGCATGTCAAGTCTAGGACGCGCGCGGGACCTGTCTTCGTCCCAGTGCCCGGGCGCGTGAAGGATTCCTGGCCATCGTCGTTTCCAGCCGGGATCCCAGGACCGCCGCTGACGAATGCCTCAGACGCCACCACCTACTCTAGTGCATTGACCGACGCGACGGATGATAGAAGACCATCGTTGGCAAACCGCTTGCGGGCCCCGGTCGAGATTGTGTCACCATTTGGGACGTTCCATGACAGGACTGAACGCGTGCTCGAGACAGAACAGCACTCCCTTAGTCGGCAACAGGTTCTGCAAGATGTGAGAGGAGGCATCTCTGCGTGGTTACTCGAGGCACGAAAGCATCCTCGACTGCTCGAGCTGATGCTCGCAGAAAGTGATACGGTGGAGAATAGTAACTTCGAGCCAGATATCGTCGGATATAGTATTAGTCGAGTGCGTGTGAAGTAGTATCGTGGATATGGCGTATACACAATGTATCTCTGGCCTGTGTCTCACGCTGCCGCAAGCCCATTGAACCCCAGATAAGTAAGTTACAGTAAGCCATCCTTTCAAGCAGCGGAAGGATCCGGCCAGGACAACGCGATCAGGTGTTCGCCACGCGACATGTTCTGGCTCACCGTTATATGTAAATGCGCGTCGCGGAATGTTGACGCGCGCCTTGCTCTCGACCATCTTGCTGCCTTGATCGGTCGACGGATACACAGACGAAATGGATATGGACAGCGATCCGCATTATGCGCAAGTAGTGACAATGATGGCACGGGAGCTAAATAAGGCGGAGAAGAATGGCACAGAACTGCCGGCAGTTATGCGCAACGATCTAGGTGAGTTCTCGGATCATATTAGTGCACGCACCCGCGACGAGCGACTCAAGCGTGAGGGGTTTTCGCGCGTTTGCTTCCAAAGCGCGCTGAAGTGTGAAGTTGAGACTTGACTCATGAACGCACACCCAGGTCCCGCAGCTCAGTGCTTTCACTGTAATATGGTAATACAGGAGCCCAAGAAACCACAACTGTGCAGCGCGTGTCGCGCTGTGACCTACTGCAGCAAGGAAGTAAGTGGTCCCGCTCTCAACTACCAAAGAGTCACTTCAACGTCATCACAGTGTCAGAAAAGGTCCTGGAAGTATCCCGTTGTGCCGAGAGCTCCTACGCACAAAGAGACGTGCGGAGACAATAAACTGCACATGCTGCGCCTTCCCGATACCCAAGCAGCGATCAGGCAGTTCCCTTGGGGTCGCATCGAGCCGGATGGTACTTTCAACCTCTCTGTCGCCAAGGCTCGTTTCAATGTCTTCGGTGGCACGGGTATGGGTTTTTGGAGCCATCGCATCAGCCGCTCGTCCCATCAAGACGAACGCTATCTGGGCGGCGAAAGTAAGAAAACCTTAGGAGCGAGACATCTCGACGGTTACGACTTGCTTCAGCGTTCGACCCATCTCGATGATAAGTCGGGGTGGAAACTTGAGCCAGATCTGACGCCTTTCCGGGATCTGTCGGCTATAGGCGAGGATAAGAGGCCAGTGCTCATCACGGAATTCGAAGAAGGTGTAAGAGATTGGTCTTCCTGGTATGGTTGGCGAAAGCTGCCACTGAAGTCACCTGCCGCCCTTCTAATGGACTACCCTCTATCGGCATATTGGCTTCTCACGCATACACTTGGGCTTACGAATGCTTTGTCGGGAGCGCCCGAAAAGCGCATTCCCCTCAGCGTTCATGTCTTGGGTGTTGAGGTTGAGCTTAACTTTATACCGTTGTGAGTAGCCGAGCGGCCCAATACGCATCTAAACTCCGCTCACTATTGGTGTCAGGTACTCGGAGTTGGCGTTGCTATTGCCTTACCATGACATCAAGTTGACTTTCTTTGGGTACGGCGCCCGCCAACTTGCACTTGCCTCCGCGGCGAACGTAGGGGTGACGGACTCACCCGCCCGCCGCGCTTTCAAGGATTCAAACACGCCGATCTTTGAATATACTGCCCCCGACTTTCTCGGCAATGGGTCGATTACGATACTCCTGCACGGAGACTCCGACTCTTGGTCTGCTGCCTTCGCAGAAAACGACCCTCCGGATGCACTCATCGCGAGCAACGCTGGGCTAGGGTCTTACGCTGGTTGGATCGATGTCATTCGAGCGGTGCATCTTCGTAATATACCTTTCGCCGTCACAGAGTATGCGGAACAATCTGCAGAGACGCAGACTCGAGCATCGGTGAGGGTTGAACCATCACATATCCTGTAAAGCTCTAACTGGAGCTGCGTCCTCAGATCCCAGGGTTCATTGCCCCACTTCCTCCACGCGATTACACCATCGAACTCAACCCTTTTCATAAGCCGGGTCAACGCTGGATGCCGCGCATACGTCTCCCGAACCTCTACAACGGGTTCTGTATAAGAGTAGTCAGCAAAGATGAACCGTAGTGTAGAGTTAGTATATTGTCATGAGTCCTGCACGCTCATGCAAGATCCATGTGCGCCCGTGCAGCCAGCGTCATATTCACAAGCGTCGCATGACTCGACCATAGTTCGTCGTACTATAGCCTGCGTGATACGAGGTCAGTCGCGCCGATGCACGGAGAAACACACTTCGCGAACAATCTTAGAGCTTCTCCGGAACGCAAGTCCGAATACGTGCACACATCTAATGGCCAAGTGCACACTGAATGAAATTGTGGGTAGAAACGCAGACCGGAACTTCAAGGTCCCCCAGATTGGTGTGCCGTTAGCACCTAGGTGTTGTGCGTGGTCGAGTCCAGTCATTGTGGAGTCACACGACCTGTTTAGACACGATGCAAAGTTGAGGCGTGTTTGCAGACTCAAGGTTCAAATTCTCCGCTGTCCAAACGGGATCGTACGGGAGTAGATGAGTCTTCTTAGCTCGTGACGACAGCTGCCGGCGCATCGAGCGCTAAGATCAAGAGGGGGATCCTACACTGCTTCACCTTTTGAATGTTGCTTATCCACCCCATATTTCTTTCAAATGGATCGGGCCCAACACGGGGCAGTGGTGCCTTGGCCTCCGTATACAAGCGTCGATCATCGATAGGCATATGGAGTAGCGGTGCAAGATTGCTACAGCCTGCAGGTGAGGGATGTTGACAGCGAGACGACGTCGCTGCTCACAGAGTCGATCATCCGGTATGCTGAACAGTGATCACTTGTCGATATCACGTTCCGGAACCGCCGGTAAGTAGTGCCGGTATGAGCTTGGTGTAAGCGCTGCTCACGCACGTTGGAAGTCGGGAGCGCCAGGGTCTGCGCTTGTGCATGCAGATGCCAACTGAGGAGAGGATCAGCGCGCCGTCATAGTTGAGTTCTGCGGCGTGGCGCCATCGGCGCGGCGATAAATGATTGAGATAGATAGAGATAGATAGATACAATCGGGTGAAGAGAGAAGGCACAGGACGCCGTGCATTGGGGCCATTTTACCCATAAGGCGCAACTACCGTCGAGTGGCGCTGGTGGCGTAGGGGGATCTGAAGCTAGTGTTAGTTGTGGCCACAATCGCAAGCCTTGCTCAACGACATAATTGGTCACTGATTTGAGATGAGGGGAGGTCGCACGCTTCTCGCACTGGAGATTGCGTCTGGTGTTAGTTGCTCCCGCTCGGCACAGTATACTCGCTCATGTCCAGTCGGCCGCCGTAGAGTACGATCGTGGCGAGGTTGCGCGTCAACGGGGGGTCGGGCCGCAAGAACACGCAACAATGAAGAGAGGTTTCAGATCGTCGGGCGTCTGCCATAGGAAGCAACGAGCTGCGGGGGATACGAGCCCTGCGGAGATTCTGGGCGAGTGTGATTTCATAGATTGATGTAGTCGTCGCAAGCAGCCCGATCGCTCTTCGCTTCCTGCGGCCCGCACGATACAGACACAACGCAGATCTATGTATAAGACTGTCAATGGTAGCCTATGTCGGGTACAACAACTGCTCAGATCTCATCAGCTAGGGCTCCTCAGTCCTCTCCACGAAGTTCTGCCGTTCGGCAGGAGGATAGCGTCAGCTACAGACTGCCGGAGGCAGCCGGGGAGAAATCGGCGTTGTATGTTATTGCCGGTTGGACGAGACCACCAAGCAGCCCAGTACCGCAAAAGCGGCGTCAGAGTAGGGGGTCTTCGCAATGCGGAGAGGGTGAGGCGGATTTTTGGATCGGCGGGCGCCCGGCTATGGTGCAGGGAGACCGCAGGGCCTGGCTTACCCCGCGCAGAGCACACGCAACAGTGGTTCCGGCCTTCCGACACCAAAGCAGGCGTGAATGAACCGGAAGTAGATTCACGGTCGGAGTTATACGTAGGGATGGCGTGGAGCGTGAGCTGGCCGGCACCGCCGCAATGCTAAGTCGACGCGCGAGGGGGTGTGTAGTGAAAAAGGCAGCTGACAGCCGATCCTATCGATTGCATGCTCCGTACCGGGCTGCGATGCTTGACACTCAAGACGGTACTAGGAGGACAAGTATATAGTTCAGCGATTACGAGGACAGTGACGTTAAAAATGTCCGATACGTTAACGATGAGCAGGAAATCGAGGGATTCACGCTTTCCAGCCACCAAGTTCAATGATATAGGCAACCGCGAGCTTCGAGAACTCCAGCATGTGAGAGAAACTGAACTCAGGCGAGACGTCGATACGGCTATGGAGTCTCATGAGCAGCCGCGGACCAAATAATCAATGGCAACTCACTCGTTCGCTGAGTGGATGTTCTTGTTCGAGTTCTCGAATTTGCTCTCTGTTCCAGCGGCGTAAGTACATGCGCGCAGATACGTTCAGAAATTAAGAACTAACCGATCGTGAAGGAGCTGGCGTAGCCGGCTTTAGCCCATGAGGCGCTGCAAAACTCATGAACAATTGTTGACAGGTATTGACGAACGAGAACGCACTGGTCGCTGCAAGCGTAGCCACACTTCGTCTCTACATATGGAATGTCCAGGTAAGCATCTACAAGCTGCTTATTGAACTCGGTAAGCCTAAACAGCAGAGTGTTAATTTCGCTTTCTAGGTGTGAGATCAGGCCACAAACCTTTCGTCGACAAAGTCGGTGATGATGCCAACTTCTTCCCGTGAGCCGCTCTTGACCCAAGCAGTCATATCGAACTGTATCGATGAGAAGGTACGTAAACAATCAGATTCCGTCGACATATGGCGCTCACTGACCTGGCTCATGGCAATGACGGGGACCTTCCGGGCCTCATAATCGCGTGCAACTGCTTGTGAGCCGAGTAAACCGCCCTCCTGCAAGGTAATCAGTACGACGTATCGCATAGGTGTAAGATCTCGAGACAAGGGCACGACCCACCTCAGCTGAGTACCAGTGAAACTCGACGTCCTGTACGGGGCGGAAGTCCGCCGCGATCAAGGCACGGTATGCCTCGAGGATGGTCACTGAACCAGAGCCATCGTCATCTGCACCTGCACACGAAAGGTTCAGCAACGCAGCACGAACGCATCCGGACAATAGGAATATACCGGGAGCAGGCAGGAAAGGCCAAATATTCGTGCTGTACAGAGGTCTTGTGAGTCTGTGGCGCAGTCGCTAAATTGGGAACAATACTGACCTGTCTTGATGCGCGCCGATGACAACCGTGCCGGTGGGTGCAGAGCCATCGATGTGGACCACCTTCGAGGGCAATCAGAACCGGGGCAAAGGCTATACTGTACGCAGGGTAACTCACAATGGAGTTCTGACCCCAGGAGTGAGGGAACTCGGTGATCGTGATCTTCTCCTGGAGGGCCTTGGGAGCGAACTCTATAGTAGTCTAGCCGCCGCCCTATCAGGAAAGTTCGCAGGACGTAAAATGGGCGCAACGCACCTCGGAAATCTTGCTCAGAAGCCATTGCTGGCTTTGGCGCCCAGTCTACGGCACCGGAGTCAGAAAGTTCACTTGCACACATGCTTAAGAACGCGCACGTCAGCTCGATAATCTGGACGAGAATGAGCCGTCAGTCAGGAGATGAATGTAGTAAACGAACGTGTAACTGACATCTGTTCCGGAAGCTGGAGAACTTCTCAAGATTCTCTGTCATAGTCTTCGAAGTCAGGGTCTTAATGACACCTTGAACTTGCTCCGTGGCGTTCGGCGCGGGAAATACGTCTGCCAGTTACATGAGTACAAACAGCCGGTTATATGGCGTAAACGCACGTTGTGGACGGAGATCTTCGGTAACATAGGAGCCGAGATCCTGCGACTCCGTGCTGTGAATGAAAGGTGAGTAGGCGGTCACCGACCGGCAAAGACCTGCTGCGCACATATCGAAGAAGCGAAGGCCCTGTTGCTTCGCCTGAATCTGCAAAGGTTGAGCACATCTGTCATATGGATGAGGATAGGAAGCTACCTTTTCGAGCTCTGTTATCCAGATAGGTTCCCAGTTCTCGAATTGGACAAGGCGAAGGCTGTTCAAGTCAAGGTTGATACCAGTGAAGTCCGCGTCCTCAGGTACAGGAACGAGAGTGTTCTGAAGAGAGAGGGGTGTTTGCGACGTTTGAAACGCCGTCGCGAGTGTCACAAAAGCAAGGAGGGCCGTGGCGGACTTCATGGCTAACGGTGGTGAGAGTGAAGGGCAGAGCTCGGACGAGCCAACGCGCGGCTCATGGCCTGTCAACCACCCGCGAGGCGTGATGCCCCTATCTTACGTAAAGCGCGTCGGCGACGCGTGCGGGTTGCACAAACTGCACTTGTTGTTCGACGTCCAGCTCCAGTTTGGCTAACGTTACCAAGAAATGTCAAAAGCGGTCAATTCTAGGGCTCAGGTTGTTGTGCGTCATTCATTGTCTTTTCGCTTCAAGAATGATCAGTGACCCGTAATTAGCGAATCCTTATAGCTGCTGGCAAGGCAGCTCCAACGCCACCCGTCGGCCCTGCACTCGGTGCTCGTGGTGTGAAGTCTATGGACTTCTGCAAGGAGTTCAATGCCCGCACGGCGCACATAGAACCTGGAGTTCCCACGCCTACGCTCATCACCATCCAACCCGACCGTACTTTCACTTTCGTCACCAAGACACCTCCAGTGGCATATTTCCTCAAGAAAGCGGCGGGTATCGAGAAGGGCACCGGCAAACCAGGGCATGAGACCGTTGGTACTGTCAGCCTCAAGCACGTGTACGAAATCGCAAAGATCAAGGCGACGGACGCACATCTCAAGCATCTCCGTCTCGAGGCTATTGCTAGCACCATAGTTGGCACCGCGCGAACACTGGGAATACAAGTTGTGCCTTGATTAGACGAGGTGATGCAGGAAGTTTCAGAGTAGCCCAATGTGCGTGTCCTATTCGTAAATATCATACGCCTTCGCTGATGACGATATTCGGATGTTCGGGTCGTACAGTATTTCCCTGTCCCTGACTCGAGGCTCGCCCCGAGACGGTTCCGCCATGCTTTGTGCGCGCGGCTGCGCGTTTTCCATTTCTAGATGACGCGAGGCGATTTTCGGATATGCCGCTTCGCCGCTTTCGTGTAAATACTCTACCCAGCCCATGGCCCTCCCCGGCCTGTAATTTTGGTTCCGTTCGGGATCCTCTCATCCGACCGCCACGATGTATGGCGGGATTTCAACTTGACCAATGACGAAGATCATCGATCATCTACCACCTCGAATTTGCCTTGGATAGATCGCGCGTCTGACTGCTCAGTCATGGCGGGAACAAACCGACTCGCGATCTCGGTAGGAGGTTCGCTGCGGGCCGATGTTGACCATCTGCGTGTCGTGCAGGGACTCTCATGAGATGCTCTGGATGGAAAGGCGCATCTCCGGAAACGCGCGCTCGCGAGGCATGTGTCGACAAGTGAAGGCGCGCTGCCTCCCTTATCATTAACACTTATACTGTGAGAGGGTTTTCAAAACACGCCTTGTACACGCATTGGTCAGGAGAGACGCGATCCCGGGAGAGCTGGCCGATCCGCCAAGTTGTCGACGCGTGCCTGCCGAAAGCCTTGCGCTTCTCAACCTCATGCCCTAGGGTCTGTACATCTCGCCTCTTGCATTCATGTCATGCACTGGCATGAGCCTTACCCCGTCTTTATCCACACCCTTTGTCTCAGCTAGAACTCGGCATATTCCTTGCAACGCGGAGATTTGCGTACAGTGACGAGAATGACAATCAGGACCCGCTCTTGCCTGCAGGCGTGTCCGCCATGCGCCCTTGTCTCGCACAAACTCAGCTCCCTTCCGGGGGGCGCTTACGGCCACCTCGTGTCGCTGCTTTTCGATCAAACCTAGCCTCGACCTGAAAGCAGCGCCAGAAGAAACTCCACTACGACTGGCCCCGGCGGCGAGCGCCCGCCTGAGCAACTCTCTGGTCCGAACGACCACGCCTGCACCAGGCCGTGTGGCTCCGTTGCGCGTCGGCTTGCTACCACGTTCCGTCCGATCAACAGATCTCGAAGATGCGTTCGGAAATCGTGGTGAAGTGCGCTGACCTCCCGGCACGAGAGGATATAAAGGCCCGTGAGCGCTTCTCCGGATTCACCAGCACCCCTCCGCTTCGACTTCCCTTCCTACCGCAACCGACCACATCTTCGCCATGTCTACCGATACCCTTATGTGGACATCCCAAGACCCGCGTCAGAGTACAATGTTCACTACGCAGGGCATCGTTTACCGCTTCATCGTGAGCCAGTTGCCTTCCATTTCTTCCGCCACCGGTCTGATCCCTGCCTTCCAAGACCGAACCCAATGCATCTGGCCAGCACGTCACCACACTCTGGAAAATGATCCGCTCAAACAAGGAGGACCGCGTTGCGAAGCTCGAGTGGGCACCTAATGGTGGCCTTGGGCGCGCTATCATCGGCAAGGTATCGCTGCTCACTGTGTCGTGCGTTGTCGCTGTTGCTCACAACTTCTTTGCAACCAGTCGACTGTCCCGATGACTGATCTTGTCCGCCGCGACCCGCATTCTCCGGTAAGCCCTATTTGTCTTGCTTCATTCTTCATGACCTTCAACATCGCTCACCGCATACTAAGGGCATGCGTTTGTGGAACGGACCTGACGGCTTCATCTATCGGTGGGCACCGTCTGGCGAAGACGTACATGTGCGTACTCTCCTCAGCGTTTGGCATCCTCCACAACTAGAACTGCCAACCAGTTGCTCGACCCGAATAACGCAGTCATTGCCAAGATCAAGCAGTGTCGCCCTGCTCGCTACCCCGGACTTGGCGATGTCTACTACGAGCTGGAGTTTTTGCGCAGCGCGGGCCAGGGCGTCGTGGTGCGTGCTCTCCATTCCTCTTCCTCAGCAACTGAACTCAATTTATCTACAGATGCACCCACCGCTAATGGACACTGTAACTGTAACTGCGATGTTGTACCGGTTTGCGACACAGTATAACCTGTGATCACTCTCCTCTACCCCAACTCCCTCTGTGCCATACGTCTACTGCACTGTTGCTTCCTCGGGCTTGTTGGCCGGTACTTCATGTCCCTCCACAGTCGCATATCTGGCTCTACGTTCTCGCATCCACGCATCGCATCGCTGTCTGTACGCTCCGAATCATTCACTTGTACCTGTACGTTAGCATCGTAAAAATGAACATCCTATGCGCACCGTTCTGAGTTTCGAGCATCGGCACGCCATGTCTTCCAGATGCACGCACCCCGTGTGGCCCATTCCGCTCCGCTCATCAGATCCTCTCGGGGCCATCGGGGATTGAGGATCTCCATTCAATTTACAAGGTTCAATTAATATCCACAGGTACGACTGCTTTCCTTGCCTTCTACACAATCCGCGCATATTCCCGAACTGTCAAGATGAGTTGTGGGCCTCTGTGGGTCTCGAAGCCTGACCTGGGCCTGACAACTGCGCGCTCATGGACTCGGTTGTGCGGCCGCTGTTTGCCTAGCCTGAGTACTGATTACCATTTGGGTGTACCACCACTTGTGCCCGCGACGAACGGCGCCCGATGCATGCGGCAGGTAATCGCTCGGCCGCGAGGGGGGAGCCCAAGGAGACAGATCCACAAAGCCTTCACGCTCTTCTTGATCAAAGGCTGCCATTCGACACGGCGGCACCAACTTGAAGCCTTCTCATGACGCTGCGCAAGCTTCACAAGCTCCTACAGCATTCTCCATAGAACGGCAAAGGCCCCAATGCCTCGAGTAGATCTCATAGAAGTGTAATCTTTATGTCTTAGATGGCGAGGTGGGGAACACCCCAACGCCTCTAGGCCCTGCTCGACGACAACGCCCGCAAGGCTTCTGACGGATCGGGCTTACCTCCGCAGCATCGATAAGAGAACCACATGGGCACCGATGGGCACATAGACACCTACGTTGGTGTTGTTGCTTCTATGCCGAGCGCTCGTTGTTAGTGGATAAGTTTGGGTACACATAGCGGTTCGGAGCGCCACAAGGCACGTTGAATCATCAAATCGAAACCTAGCGGCTCTGGAGAATATTATGATCTCCCTTTCCGAAATCATATCTGCTTGTACTGAGATGAAGCGTATGCAGAAGAGAAGAGAAAGCTATTTCATCCACGCTTTCGAAGATCGGCCGCCTATAGTGAAGATCGCGGGTCTTACAGACCAATGCGGAGACACTGTCCCAGGAGAAGATATCCAGCGGCGGAAAGAACCGTCTCACCGAGTCGGCCGTTCACACAGATGAATTGTATTAGTGTTCCAACAGAAGTACTACACCAGCCTCATGAGATGAAAGCTCTCTGACAAGCGCGCGTCAGGGGAGGGCTCCGCGAAGACAGAGTCAAGTTGCCACATCTAAGCGTAGCGCATTCCGGACCGGCGGTTGCACCCTGCCTCGTGTAGAAGGTCAGGCTGTTTGCGCCAGAACATCGATGCCACCTTGAGATATCATTCGCCACAAACGGCTATCACGCATGATCCCGTATCCCGTGGATTACCTCGGGTGAGGAGACAGAGCATCAGACAACCCTCGGGTCGTTTTGCATGGGCTGGGCTGTAGCATTCGTCGCACTTACTGTACACTTTACGTATAGAGGGTCCATATCGCACAATAGGCATTCATATCAAGTCTGTACATCTCGCCAGATCTATCACTGAATAGGTCTATCGCCACCCGCACTGACAGGGTCGTACTGATGGAGGGGGTCTGGCGCTCATACCGTTTTCTGGATCTGGCTGGCCCTTTGTTTTCGCTGTACGTATCATGAGGCATCTCTCCGAGATATTGGCGAATCCGTACCTCACAGAAGCATCTCTATGGATGAGTCCGCGGTGGACGCTCTACCGGTCCTCTATCGGGCCCGCGGACGAGTAGTAGGTCTGTATAGCCAGAGAACCGGTATTGCGCTGGGGTGGCATGGGACTACCCGCCCTCACGGGGCGGTCTAGCGGACCGGCCGTTGGGCAGATAATACCAGGCCGATGAACTGCAGATGGTAGTTGAGATTGAGTTTGCGTTATAATCTAGCGGACGCGCACCAAGGAGACGGATAATGCCGAATAGAACTCACACGAAGCCGCTCAGCCGCTCCGACGCTTCACGCTTCGTTGAGTACATGACCAGGCTAGCTTACTCAGTTGCCGTTTGAATATCATATCGTCGATATTGTGACCGCTCTTCGATTTGAGTGACCAATATACCAGGCCGAGCCGTTGCTACTTGTCGTGCTGTATCAAGAAAATCATGTGCAGTCAATACAGTCGCTATGGCACAATACGTCTATTGGTCGAGCAAACCTGACTGACTCTCACAGATTTAAGATACTAAACTATCACAGTTTGGCCTTGACGTCTTCCTCCCACTCCACGCTTTCCTTGTCCTTCTCCACGACATCTAGGATCTCATCGGTCGTTTCAATGACCCACTGCGTTCCTTCATCGCTCCCGAGCCACTTATCCTCCGCACTGAGCTCTCCAGGCCATGTACCCGCCTTCAGCAACCCGAAGACGTGCGATACAAGTTGTGGCCCAACACGCGCCTCTGCGCGAAGGCAAGAGATGCCGACGACTGAACCAAGCGCTCGCGAGAGGTTGCCTTGAGTGTTCGACGTCGTAGGTGGAAGAGGAGAGAGAACGGCCCCATAAGCTTGAATGATGAACGCTGTGGGGGACAAACACGTTAGGTCTCAGTTATAGAAGCTGTCCGTTGTGGCGTGTGCGCACCAATGAAGTCAGGATGATAGCTTCCGAGCTTCGCTGCAAGCTTCACGTCGTGTGGCGCGTAGATGTTTTGCCAAAGCGCCTGCCCACGCGCAGTGAGGTCTTCGCTAGGATGCCTGCGAGGTTAAGGGTTAACGACAGCCTTGACCGAGAGATGGTACGATCAACTGTACCGGTCTGGATGCGCCTCCTTGCGCAGCTCTGGATGCACATCATCCTCAAGCGCACCGTGGAAAGCCGCAAGCGAAAGAATAACCTGTGTATCCGTTAGCCCCGTCTCCGAGCTAGAAGCAGACCCAAAATCAAGACGCACGCGCGGTACACCAACGAAGATCGTGCTCTTCAGAGCAGCTTCACGTAGAAGCGCAGCAGTGCGCACGCGCGTAGCGAGGTCAGCGGGCTTCGGTGCGTCTTGCGGGTGTGTCGCGACCTTGTAGAGGTGCGCGAAGGCGGGCGGGACGTTGCTTGTGAGCAGGGCGCACGCCTGACACAGCATGATCCATATCCAGAAAGTGGTTCGGCGTTTTCGAAGGGAAGAAGGATACGCGTCGGAGAAGTGTACGCGTGTAGTTCGGGAGTATACCAAATCCGTCCAACAATGAACCAGGGCGAGCCAAGATGTAAGAGTAGTCTAATCAGCGCTAGATGCTGGATTCCTATTTTAGCCGCGTACGCACCGCGAGGACGAGCCATCCGTCCTCGGCGCCGCGCTTCCGCGCGTCGGCGCGGGTGCGCTGGAGTACGCTTGTAAGCGGCGCGCGAGAAGGGCCCGGGAAAGAGTTCGGGTTACGAGTTGCGAGAAGGCGCTTGATCGCGGGGGAGAGCTTGACGGACGACATCGGGCAGGATTGTTGCTCGCAGGGCGATAGGTCCTATAGCGCAAGCGCGATGTTGGACGTGAGTGTCAAGGCGTATCGCGCCATGGCGACCCCGGGGTGGCGGGTGTCCGCCAGTCGTGAGTATAATGTTCGCGTGCGGCACATCGTGAGCGCGAGGTACGCAATTGGGTCGCTTCTCGGCGTGATGTCCTTTTGACTTTGGTTCTACCGCGGCACGTACTTGCCGTACTGCTACTGCCGGCGCGCCAGGGTGCCGCCACAATGACAGGGTATTGCCCTCTGACGTGCAGGGTGCAAAGATCAATGCCAATCGTCAATTATTTCAGTTACACTTCCTTGAATGGAATCCGCAAGTCAGACCAGAGTATAGGGAGAAGTGTAGGCTAGCACGGTCAGGTAATTGTAGACAAAGTATGATGGTCCGTCGTCTACTACCACAAACTCGACATACACATCAGCTCGCCGACCGCACCAGCGGCAGAGGCACAAAACGACAAGTCAAAGCACAAGGGATAGGGGATGTCAGGATCAGATTGGGCTTGTAAGACACGACGGCTCCAGGACATCGCGGGGCCGCGCAGGCGCGGCAGGTGAAGGGGTATCTGGGTGCACGCGCCCGCTGGCGAGCGCGCGCGAAGCTGCTATAACTGAACCACACATCTACGAGATGTAGAACTTGGCGAGGTCGGTGAGCGAGTTGCCGTCAGAGTTGATCATGGCGTTGAGACCGTTGAGCGAGTTCGACTCAAGCTCGGACGAGGTCATCGGCGCTGTAGTGTTCGGTCAAAAACTCGCCTGAAATCGCATGGAGAGGTTTGCATACCGAAGTAGAAGTACGCGGTGATGAAGTCTTGCGAGTTGAGCCAGTTCTTGGTGTTGGTCATGAAGGCCCAGATCTCGTCCGACGACGCCTGGTTGTTGTTACCAGAGTAGTCCTGGCACGCGTACTCGGTGATCATGACGGGGGCCCAGTTGAAGTCAGCCGAGTGGTAGCTGGTGGCAACGGTCTTGAACGAGTCGAACGACGTCGTGTAGATGTGGGCAGCAGTGAAGTCCCACGTGCAATCAACACCCTGCTTGCTGCAGGCGGTCTTGAAGTCCTGGAGCCACTTGGGGCCAGTGGCAGGGGCAGCCGAGATGAGCTTGTAGCCCTGGCTCTTGAGGGGCGCCATGTAGGTCTTCCACATGGAGACGGCATCGGTCGCGGCAATGTTGGACTGCGACGAGATGTCGGGCCTGAATGGAAGGTGTCAGACACTGCATGACGACGGTTGATCTGGTCAACCACTTACTCGTTCAAGAAGGCGGCGTATTCAGCGTAGCCCTTGACGACCTTGGACTTGAACGAGTCGGCGTTCTTCCAGCCCCAGAGCATGGGAATGAAGTTCAGGCCCTTGGTGGTCATGCCGTACTGGAGAGACTCCTCCCAGTCGTAGATCCTGGAAATTCGTGCAAAGCGTGAGAAACGGGGATCGTAGCCCGGGGAAAACAGCATGCGCACCAGTTGACGTTCTCGTTCGTGAAGTCGGGGATGAGGTCCGCCTCGTGGTTAGACCAGGCAAGGCCGACCTTTCCGTTGCCGGAAGAGCCCGAGCTGGAGCTAGCGGTGGTTGCCGCGGCGGCCTTGGAAGAGGTCGTCGCGGAAGCCTTCTTGGTCGTGGTAGCGGCGGCGGCCTTAGAGGTCGTGGCAGCTGCCTTGGTGGAGGTCGCAGCAGCTACAGAGGTCGAGACGGCCGAAGTCGCGGCGGCGTGCTGGACTGCAGAGGTTGCAGCGGAAGACTTGGCGGCGCAGCGCTTGGAGACGTCGCGCTTGCGGGAAGAGTTGGCGACGACGTCACCGTGGCGCTTGGCCTGGTTGTGGTTGTTGCCGAACGAGCGAGCAAGGCGGTGGTGGGCTGCGTCGCCGGCGGATGCCGAAACAAAGACGGCGAGGGACGAGATAGCGAGGAGCGAGAGAAGGCGGGCCATTTGGAGTCGAGTCGTGCAATGAGAAAAAAGAATGTGTGTCCCAGGTGCGGGATTGACGAGAACTCTGGTAGAGAACGCAGGCGACGACGACGGGCGCGGGAGATGGATGCGGGAGCCAACCTCTTCTCGACTCTCCCCCGTTTTTGAACCCCGAGCCCGCGCGGCCCACGTGTAGCGCCCGCCTTGGCAGCTTGCTCCCGCCCCCCTCGTATCCACGGCTTTATCTTTTAGTCCTCCTTCCGTTAGGCTCGCCCTTGCTGTCCTCCCTGGGCGGTTACGCTATGGCCTTCCCCAATTATTTACACTGTGCTCCCGTTCGCTATGTTTAGTACTTGACACATACGCTCGTCGTTGCCCAACTCCCATCAGGTACAAGGTTAACAACGCGCAACATTTTGAACAATGATGGTTCCCTCTGGCATCGTCGCCAAGCTGCGACGCTCTTGCTCCACAGAGAATGAACCGGCGTTTTCGCAAGGCCCAGGCGCTGCGTTTGTGAAATATGCATCAGCGAATGGCGTGCCTGTACGAGACCGTCGTATACTCAAATCCACACTAGACAATCCGTGTACATCCAGTTTCTATGTGAACGCACAGAGCTGTGCGCAGCCTGGATGAGATGGGCGCGAGGCCAGCCACGCGACCGTGATTCAATCTTTAAAGCGCGTCGGGCGTCGTGACTCTGGTTTCCTCCAACCCTCAAGAGCTCGACCACTAGGCCCGGTTCAAAAAAGCAGTACATATATCTCCCAACCAGTTCATCCTCAAATCGCTATCATGTCCGACGCCGCCCAGGCCGCCGCTCCTGTCACCGAGAACGGTGTCCCGCCCGCCACCCAGGATCAGGTCGTAGAGGAGGCTCCCGGCCACAAGGTAACTTGTCGCTCGCGCCGCCAGTTTCTGAACAAACCTAATCAGCATTCTCTAGGTCTTTGCCGGCAACCTCGCCTACGCCACCACGGACGACGGGCTCAAGGCATTCTTCGCGCCGGTCGAGAGTGAGATGTGAGTGCAGGCCCCTTTGAGCACAGCATGCGCTGGCATCTGGCAGCAGTGATGTTTCATTGTTGACTGACAATTAATATCCTACAGCCTCTCCGCGCAGGTCATTATGCGCGGCACCCGCTCTGCGGGCTACGGCTTCATCGCCCTCAAGACGGCTGAGGCCGCCGAGAAGGCCGTTGCCGAGCTCGACAAGAAGGAGCTCGATGGCCGCCAGATCATCGTTGAAGTCGCCAAGGCGCCCGAGCAGAAGGACAAGGACCGCAAGGAGAAGAAGGCCCGTCGTCGCCCTGGCCGCCGCGGCTCCAAGGCCGTCCCCGGCGAGGTTACCGACGCCGAGGCCGCCGGCGAGACCGCTGCCGAGGGCGACGCCGCGCCCGCGGACGGCGAGAAGCCCAAGAAGAAGAAGTCCAAGAAGGCAGTATGTATTGATCGCCCTTGATCATCGTATCCTCGCGCTGATCGCGTGTCACCCGCGTGTTCAGAAGAAGCCCAAGACTGAGGGCGATGCCGCTGACGGCGCTGCGCCCGCTGACGGCGAGGCTGCCGCTCCCAAGCCCAAGAAGAAGAAGGCGCCCCGCCCCGCCCGCGCTCCCGGAGAGGAGCCGACTGGCGAGCCGAGCAAGACCGTGCTCTTCGTCGCCAACCTTGGCTTCAACATCGACGATGCTGGCCTCGCCGCGCTCTTCACCGACGCTGGCATCAAGGTCAACAGCGCCCGTATTGTCCGCCGCCGCTGGGGAAAGCCCCGCAAGTCCAAGGGCTACGGCTTCGTTGACGTCGGGGACGAAGAAGAGCAGAAGAAGGCGATTGCCGCCCTTGAGGGCAAGGAGGTCGCTGGCCGCCCGATCGCTGTCAAGATTGCCGTCAACACCCAGGAGGCCGAGGAGGAGCTCAAGGGCGGCAAGGACGAGGCCGCCGCCGCCGCCGAGCCTGAGTCCGTCGTCATCGCGTCGTAAACGCGTCGCGATGTTTCACGCCTGATGACCCGGATGTCTTCACGCCCTTCACGCTCTTCTCACCTTCTTCTCACCGTTCTCCTTTCCCTTAACCTCCCCCTTCACCTAATCCATGATCAAAGCTCATCCCGGATATATATGCCTGCTCGCCAGCATCCGCCCGCGCTGCTCGCATATCGTCGCATCCCGCTTGCTTCCCAGTTGCCCGTTACTTATTGCCCGTTGCCCATTAACCCCAGTAAAGCCCAAAGTAGCGCAGTCGACGACGTGCGTCCCCCCGCCCCGTCCATGTGTTTCCCTCTTATACATTGTACGCGACGGACGGTCTGGTGCCGCCCATCCCCGTTCCGTTTTCAATAGCCTTGTGTGTTGCGCTCACGCCTCGCGTTACGGTCGTCTGTTCACGCTAGACGTCGTGCGCGGGGCGGTGATCATCATTCTATTCATCTTTTTGGAAGGATCATCACGCGTGAAGTTGTCTGAATCGTGGCGAGCGCGAGGTGCATCCTGGACGTCGTGGCATCTAAAGCAAGTCTTTGCGGCTCCTACTCTTACGTCCAAGGACACGTATCGTATGTAGTGTTCATATCCGTGCAGTCGCTCACCACCCCTGCGTCTTTCCGCTGCGTGGAGGGCGCGAGGATGCTTCTGATACATTGGGTCGCAATATAGGGAAGACATGTGGCTTTTTACTCCCTCAAGAGACTATTCGTAATGGCTACACACGGCCACTCGCTCTTTCAGGTATGCACAAACCAAACAGTTGACCGATATGAACGGCTGGAAACTTTCACCTGAGCTCGGCCGTGCGCGGTACTCGAACACGTTTGTTTCGCTGTGCGCCTGCCGGTCTATCAAGCAACCGTGCGTGTAGCCTCTTCTGTCTAGCTCTTCTGCTTCTCTGCATACCCGTCGGCACGCTCATAAGCCTTGGGAACCCCAGCGGCCACAGATGCCGCGGTTGGAAATCGTAAGTACGTCTGCACCCCTCGACCACTCTCAGGCTCAGCGGGGGCCAAGGAGGTATTTTGGGATGATGACTGTAATCCCCGGTCGAGAAAGGTCCGGAGCGCGCAAGCTGGGAATATTTGCTCGTTGGTTTGCGAGTGTATCAGCAACCTCTTTCTGGGCCTCCATGGCATGAACCTCATGTTCAAGCGGCCAGCAATCTGCAGCATTGGAGACGCTGAACTCAGCAATGCCGATATATCTGTCAACGAACGTGTTGCTATCACAGCCATATGTTACAGTGTATACCGCTACGTATATACCTGCATGCTCTGGGGACACGACATGAACCTCAACGAAAGCCGGGTATTTGATGATGAACCTGGTCGACTTGGACCGAGCGTGTTGACGTGTGGCGTCAGACGCGTCGCGTCCAAGACTCCAAGACGCGTCAAGGTGCACGCGTCTTTCTTCCCACCACCACCACTAGCCACTATCTTACAATGTCCGACGACGAAGATGACTACCTCTCCGATAAGTTTCTCTTTTCGACCGAAGAACCCTCCACGCACAAAAGACCGTCGACATATTCGGACCTACGTCGGGAAGCGGCGAAGAAGGCTCAGGATCGGAGTATTGCAAACCGCGTGAAGAGCGCGCGAGAGCTCAGGGAGGAGGCACTCAGCAAGACACTGTTCGAGCGTGCGCAGGAAGAGGCAGAAGCGCGGAGAAAGGCTGAGGCTGCAGACGCGGATGCGGCCGGCAGTAGCAATGCGGGAGGGAACAAAGCGCTCGCCATGATGATGAAGATGGGGTTCAAGCCAGGCATGGCGCTCGGCAAGGGCAATGACGAAGAAGCTTCCGATGAGAAAAACGATGAGCGTGATGAAGGCAGACTAGAACTCGACTCACGTTCACCCGAACCTGGTCCCAGTAAACCGACCAAGGGCCTAGTTGAACCGATCGCCGTAAAGGAGTGGAAAGGTGCGCATATATGCGCGCATATTTCATTTCTGGAAGCCTTTACAAACTTACGAAGGTAAACAGGGCATTGGTGTCGGCTCGAAGCGGAAAGCAGAGCTCGAAGTAGTTGAAAGAGCCTCTAAGAGCGCACGAATCGAAGATGAGCGCGACTTCCGAGGGCGCACGGCCACCGAGTTCGCAACGCGTCGCGCAGAGGGACGTATACGTCCAGCTCAGCGAACATGTATGCAACTCGATGAAGAGGAGGGTGTAAAGGTACGATTGCGCGGATTACTGCTTTCGGTTGAATAGCTCTCATGTCGTGGCTCAGTTCAATGTACTGTGGCTTGACGCCGGTACGATGGACGTCTTTCCGCCTGGCCTGTACGATGCGCTGCTTGAATATCTCCCACTTGACAAAGCACTCTCTCGCGAAGAGAGGCTACGACGTCAGATGCAAGCGGACGCACTACAACCTTTGGACGATGCTGGGGAGAAGCGATCTACGAAGGAGGAGGCTCCCAGTGAGGAAGATATCCGTGTGGCAGCAGAATTTCTGGCTCTTGATGTGTGTGCCCTTCCTCATCTGCCTTTGGGTGCCCCAATTGATTGTGAGCAGCCGATAGAGCGTTTAGAGCGAATACTGGAGTACCTGCGTGAGAGATATTTGTATTGCTTTTGGTGCGGGACGCGATACTCTAGTGCAGATGAGATGGCACAAGATTGTCCTGGAGAAGACGAAGAGTTGCATGATTGATAGTGCCGGTCCATGTACTCACTGCTTCTGACATACAAGGATGCGCTACGCCTCTGCTCTCGTTCGTCAGTCGTAGACATACTCCTAGATCTGGACGAGTCTCGGTACTTGAAACCCCCGTGAGGTGTGCCGGCATACTCCGCTACTCCGAACAACATACATATTCGCAGACTATCATGAACCAACGCAGTGATCGATCACATGCGTACTAATACTTCCCAGTGCCATCGGATCTTCCCTCTCCGGGACTACGTTCAGTAACGGTTACCTCGGTTCCGCCATCGCTACGGACAAGAAGTGGGATATGCGAGGACGTGCCACTCTCAGCCGAATTTCCATTCTCAGCTCCATACACCACTAAGCGCCACGGAAGAGATGGGAAGGACGGCGTTGGTGCAGCTGGCGAGGCGATTGTTGGACCTGCCACCTGGCTCATGGCGGCATAACCAAGTTCAGAATCAAAGGGAAGAGGGAATGTCGGTGGGATCATTTCGTCGAACCGTACGCGTTGTACCAGGTTCTTCAGTATACCGGTGGCCCAGGATAGCTTCCCTAATAGCAGTAAGTCGTACGGCTTCTGGGTATTGGAAATAACGCGCGAGGAGCCTGGGTACATCCAGGAATCCAATCCGAGCTTCTGAAGAACGCGAATGAGTTCGAGCGATGCGAGAGGACGCTCGCTGCTCGGCCTCCAGCCTGATTCCCCACAATCCAACTTCAGCTCTCTTTCAAGCAGATTGCGCATTGTGTCGCCGTCGCGATGTAGGGCCTCGACCGGTATCGTCAGCGCATGGGCTACGAGACTGAATAAGTTGGCCTCGGATAAATGCGTGATGGGATCCTGCTCTGAGTACACAGGAAGGGTCTTGAACTGCACGACCGATTCGACATGCGCCATTAATGCCTCGCCCGCTTGCGGAAGTCTAGACCGGATAGGACCAGCAATGGCCTTACGCAACCTAGTCAATGCTATGATCATGTCGAAACACTCCAGCTCGTCGTATGAACTCCCCGACATCAGCAATGCGCGGAACCTCTTCATGGCAAAGGGTATGCAGACGTTCCAACTAGCCGTTCTCCATCTCTCATCCACGCCACAGCTTTCAACGATGAAAGAGGATAGACGAAGTACTCCCAGCACGTCCGCAAGCTTCATCGTCTCGAAGGATTCGATATGCTGGCGCAACGCCCGATCCACAAAGCCGCCCTTGACGAGCTCTCGGACAAATGCTTTATTGCGCATATCGGCAACCACGGTCATGTAATTTGAGAATGGCCCAAATCCTTCCGGTCGAAGCAGGTAAGAACCGGCGCGAGCCCAGATGAACGTCATACGTTCTGAGCTCAGGGGGCCTTCCTTCTCTTTGACCGGAATTTCTCTTTTAGAAGTTGTCCACTTAGGAAGTCCAAGCTGTTGCGCCTCCTTGCTTCTGCTAAATCGCGAGAGGAACCAGGAGACTGCCGATAATGCATCTGTGAGTGGTGTGCGGTAGGGGCAGCTCTCGTCAAGGAACGGGATAAAGCTCGGAGCGGCGTAAGTCAGAATGGTACTACCCGTAGCCGCTGCGACGAAGCTTGCGAGTACGGTATTGACAGTGAATAGGAATATGACGAGTCCAACGAGGAAGAGCGCAACGGCAAGATGTACGAGCATAACTGCGACAGACGCGGCATAGTCCAACTTGTAACGATCTATGCCCATGCGGATATAGACGTGATTGAGTGCGACGTCTTTGACAGTGTGATCAAGTGTTCAGCGCTTCACGTCGCGCAGGTAACTCCAAGTCCATTCCTGTATCAGAGTAGAGAGCAAAGCACACCCAAGAGAGATGATGAGGCTGATGAACCAGAGGATGTTCACGACGAGAGCCAGCAACGGTACTTGAAAGGGACCTGTACTGATGTCCGAGAGGGGAATGGAAGGAGTGGTGCCATTCGCGTTGACGAGTTGGTAGAGGAGCGCCGCCGTCTGCGCTCCTGAGTCTGGTGATAGGGATTGGTAGCTTTCGATCACAAATGTAGCAACGGTTGCCGCGAATAGGCCAGTCTGTACGAGCATGAGTGAAGATACGCAGATGATGCCAAGACGCTGCGAGCACGTACGAAGGTCAAGATGCCATTGGTCGACCCATTCCAGCTATCGACGTCGGCTACGTCTTCGGCTTCAACGGTATTGAGATAATGCTGCCAGAGGCCATCGCCCGCCTTATCCAAGGGATCTGACTGTTTGAATGGACTGCTGAAGGGTGTATCTGGTTCGGCGGAAGTCTTGGGGGACGCCATGTAAGAGACTGTATGAGTACCGTTTGCAATATGAGCGGGCGGGAAGGAATCAGGGTGGAGGACAGAGCAGCGCGATGTATGCACGAAGATATGCAAGGTCGACGGGTTAAACGCGTTTGCCTCGCGGCAGCGAGCTGTCACCCCTACCTGACACGCCTCCGATAATCGATACGCCCTGACTATGGCCGTACAAAGAACCAAGCCTTCGCAAAGAGAATCGATATCTCTGCACGCACAGGAAACGCAGCGGCACGACGGGATATGCCAGGTAGATAGCATGAGGATGAGTATTGCCGAAAGGCTGTCTTCGTCGGACCCGACCCTTGTAATGCTGCAGGCGACCGTAAGAAGATCGAGGCCAGGTATCATCATCCCGTGAGCCTGGAGGGCCGGCGAGTTAGGTGCTAAGATCTGCATAGGTCCGAGTACCATGGAGCATGCTACGAGGAGCTCTTCCGCACTCTTCCGAGCTCATGGGATCATCGGGATCGGTATCTATGAAGATATATCAGCGCCCAGTGACTTCATTTGCTGTATTCGGGTGTCCCAAAGCAGTCCATATTCCTCTTGCATTGGGTCTTTTGGTCTCTGAACAACCTCGGTGCCTAGGAGAGTTGCTGCCCTGTGTACCTCACCTCCGCCCTTAGCTCGCCTTTTTGGGCGTCGGCATTCTTCGGGATCCTACACGACAGTCCCTGGAGGCGACCACGCAGCACGTACGTGCCCTTGCACCGCATCTGAATTTACCTTCCAAGCATTTAAAGAGGTATGGCGCCCTGGCGTCGACAGGGAAGGTGATGCGGGGAAGCATAGCCAGCGTGTGTGCGCGCCCAGGGTACTCAAACGAGTTTGAACCTTCGAATTGGATAGCCTCGCAACGTCGAGTCTACGAACGAGGTACAACCGCTTGGCTAGCTCGATTGACAACCCGCTGCCGCCTCAACTAGTGACAGCGCGCAAGCGATACTCCAAGGGAGATGGAGGTTACTCACTGAGCGCAGGCTAATGCAACGCGGGCGACGACGCCGGTGATCCGACGGCGCGGCCGGGTGCCACACGCCCTCCTCGCACATTCGCAGGCTACCATACCAACTCGAGTGAGAGCACGATGCCACCGCAACTGGGAAGTTCGCAATGGAATCTGGTCGATGGTTGGTAAGCTCGCGAGGAAGTCCCGTCGCCAGAGTACGCCGCAGATAGACTTTCTCGAACATCGCACAGGTATCTGCTTCCAAGACAGCAGAGGTATCTCCAGATGGACACTGATGAAGTACTCTATCAAATGAATCTATCATGGGGTTGAGTCGGCTACTACGCGCTCCCATCGCTATGCTCAGCCCAGCGACCACGCTCCAAGTCGCGATCACATTGCACCGGAGCGCCCGCCTGTTGCGCCGGACATTTACACGGCGCATCACGGCGCACAACGACCAGCGCTGCGGGTCGGGTACCACGTTGGGGATACTGGGAGTGGGTGACTCGGATCCTTCTCAAGCCATCAGCCGTTTCCTTGGAGTATATCCAGTTTCTATGCGAATACAACAGAGCGACTACTATAAGCCCCGTTTAGCAATCATACAGTTTCCAAGGGCAATCGTTGTCAAAGTGGGAGCGCGCGGCTTTCCCTTCCCTTCGAATGCAGCCGATGCTCGCGCTCAGCTCCCAAAGAGGCTCAAGACGAGCTGGGGCCCGAAGAAGGGGCAAAGACGCGCAGCGGACCGATGCGCAGGACGCAGCTCGGCGAACGTGAGGGCGGAACGCAAAATGAAAGCGGGAATAGCGGACCCCGGGACTACGTAGTCGCGTGGGGAGCCAATCATGGAGGTGGTGCCTAGCGACCGTTACAGGCTGTTCTCGTTTCCCTGCGGCGGTCGTTATGCTCAAGAGCGGTATAAATCGAGCCCGCAGAATAATAGTGGGCCCCGTAACGCCCACCCCGCCGCATACACGCTATCGACGATGGAGAACCTCCCGTCATTCGTCGACCTCATGAACAGCCTCGGGCTCGAGGACAAGGTCGCGCCACTCCCCTCATCCCGCCCGCGTCCGCGCCCACATGGTTCTGGCCACCGCCGCGCATTTTCTGACACCTCTTCGAGCGAACTCGATGGCGACCTCGAGCTCCTCAGACGCCGCCGCTCGCCTATGCTTCGCGCATACTCCCCGAACCACCTTTTTGTCCCGCCCGCTGACCAGGATATCCGCCTTTCGCGCCACGGCAAAGATCGGTACTCTCCATACGGATCTGTACGTGCTTTTTAATTAAGGCTCCATCCCGCCGATCGTAACGATGCGCCTGACAGGTTTCCTTACGGAACCGAGTAAGCATGCCGTCGCTGAACGAGCACGAAACCAACCCTCCGAATCGGGTACGTATCTACCCCGTTATGTCGTGAAAACGATCCCCTCGCAACGCTGTAAGATTAACTTTGGATCCCCAGGCCACATCAACATCCCCGCTCCACTCTGTCGGTTGCGCGCGCCCGATTCGCACCAGCTCCCGCGCTTCGCGTTCGCGGTCCGGTAGCCAGAGCAGCTGGACTGGCGAGACGTTGCAACCGATATCCGCATACGCCCGTCGCAAGGCGCCACGCAGCCCTAGCGTCTCACCGACGGCACCGACTTTTCCCGCTGCGATTCGCGAGCCATTTGCGCCTGTCGCGATCCCAGCGCTTCTATCACCTCTCCTTTTCCAGCCACAGAGCACACCTGACGTGCGGGCTCTGCCCACGTTGTCCCCGTCCAGTAGCCGCTCGAGCCTTTCTGAGCGAGATGAGCTGGAACCCATGGAGGACGACACGAACCCGTCCAACCTCGCAATCCCTCGTCTCCTCATTGTGGAGTAGCTCCAGCCCTCTTCCTTGTGGTTCCCTCCATCTGTACACTCGTCTTCATCATTGTTCTCTCACTGCATTTACTCCGCATTTGTGACTCGATCTATGCATTCCTCACCCCCCTTGGCACATATCATTATACATTGCCTTATACGTCGCCCCGCCGTCTCATACTCGCAAACATCACCTCTCTTTCAGACCCATAGCATTGCTGATTCAACCCTCCTGCCCACTCACTTGCCTACATCTCGATCTCGCTTCTCGCCCGCTCGGACATGGACTGCAGCCCAGGCTCCAACTTGCAACAGATGTTGATACGTTCACCCTCCCTCTTCCGTCTGCGCTACATTCCTGCTGTCCACTCACCCCTTGCTGCTCCCGCCTGCTTGTACCTGTACCGCCAGCGGACACTGTACAATACACTCCTTCGGCTTCCCGCAGCCACGATATCCCCAAACATCTCGTTCCGCCTACATGCCGCGGCCCCGATATCCCGGAACTCCCCTTCCTCCCCACTCTGTGCATGCGTTCAATTGTGTGCAACACAGTCGAATCTATACCGTTGTTTTTGCACCCGTGCACTGTTCATCCCGTGCCTTCTGTCCCTGAAGATTTTTGTCCTGCAGTGCGAAAGCGGAGGTAACGCGTCCGCAGTCCTGCTCATGGGGATCGGTACGTCGTTCAAGCATCTGGATAGCGCTCTTCGCGACAATTGGGCGTCCACGCATTGTCTTCAACTGTTCTGCCTGCAGACAATGGTGCTGCGCAACTTCTACCCTGCCTTTGAGAATGGGACTTCCGGCTACGGAATCTTCGACTCCGGTTGTCGAGTGACTGTACTTATGCCCTTCGGGCGCACATGGAGACCGACGCAAAGGGCGGTGCACGGTACTTGTGGTTGTTAAGTAGCTGTGAACTGCGAGTACGCCCAAGAGAAGCTACCTGGCGCGCAGGTACAGCACGTAGTTACCCTGACCGGCCGCATGGGCGTGCCGCTCTTCAGTATATGACACAGACACGGATATCATGGGCTTAAGAAGCGCCTAGTCCAGGCTTACAAGGAACGGGCAGAAGATGAAATCCAAGTCATCCTGAAGAGGCAACAATCGGGGAATCCTACAGATGAGTAGGCCGAGGAGAAAGCTCGGACGTGGTGATGACCACTAGAACTCTCATAGAAGCCGTATTGCTTCATGCTTGCTAGATCAGTCCAGAGCGCCGACCTCAGCCAGCATGATCGGCGTCCGGTGAGAAGTAAACACAGCATATAGTTGCTAGCGCAACCTCTACTTGTACCGTGAAAGGAGAAATTGAAATACTTCTGATAGTACACGCAGTAGCGAGGTTACATGTATCGGTTTCCAATCAAGTAAAGGTGCTGTGCGTACCGACGGCGGTCAAGCAAGATGTCGGCGTACCAGGAGGAAGAAAATATCTCATCCATATTCAATTGACGAGGGCGTCAATCACTAGACTAGGATTGGAACAGAGCCTGGCGCGCACTCTCGACATTCTTCGAGCTTACCTTGAGAGCAACATGCCTGAATATACTGATCCCAGAACGTCACAGTCTGTCTGCACTGAGGTATGACCGTATCTCACTGACTCAGTAGTGGGTCGTCGCCGTGATGGCGCATAGCAAATGACGGAGTTGAGTGGCCGTCTGAGCGTGAGACCGGCCACGCGACAAGCAAAAGAGCGATCTCGTCAGCAGCTGTCATCTTTGTTGACCCCCATCGGCTTTCACGCAAGCACTCTGAGTCTCCCGTCACATAACGCGAACACGACGACGCAATGGCTGAAGGCACTACCCGCCGTGCATCCGCAACCAGAGAACGGTCTGTAACCGAAGACCCTGAGGTACGTCTCGGCGCTTGACGCAGTCCTCAACGCGTTATCGTGCTCACATCGTGACTGCAGGATAACTCTGACATTGGATCTGGCGATGAGGGCCAAAGTCAGGGTGGCAAACCTGGCAGGAAGAAAAATCCCAAGTGCGCTCCCTTATCCTCGCTCTCGACGTACAGCTGATTGGTGCACCATGCAAACAGTAGCGCCTCACAGGCCGCCAGACGCGACCAGAACAGGATTGCTCAACGCGAATTTCGACTTCGCAAGCAGCAGCGTGTACGCACTTTCTCCGCACCGGGCGCCGACGTACAGCTTACCCTTGCCTCGCCCAGATACGTGACCTTGAGGCCCGCGTAGAACTTCTTTCTGCCGGGGAGGACCAAGCTTTGGGCGAGATGCGCAATATTCTGAAGGGTGAGCTATTCAATAACCCCTATTTACAGACACGACTCAAGCCGTGATGAAAGACCTGATGGCCGAGAATCATGTCCTGCGCGGTCTGATTCGCAGTCTCAGTGGCTTCATAGGCGATGGTGCCGGCGGCCTCTTGCCGAAGCTGGGTTGGACGATGCGCGACTTCGAGGCATACGTGAACAGGTCGGAGACGGACACAGCATACGAATCTTTCCAACGGCGTAAGAACGAGTCCGGCAACTCCCGCAAGCGCTCAGCAGATGACGCTGGCTCTGCCGACAGCGCCAACAAGCGCGCCCGCGGCACCGACCGCCAGCCGGACGGCTTCCCCGCACTCATGCCTGTCAACCCAATGGGACCGGGCGGCATGTTCCCCCCGCCGCCTCCAACCACTAATGGCCGCAGTCCGGCTTCAAACGGAGGCAGTGGTGCTACACTCTTCTCCGATCTCATGCGTTCCGCCACGGGCGGTTCGTCGCCGATGTTTTCCATGACCGGCGCATCGCCCCCGAGCGGCACCAGCCCCTTTGGCTCAGGACCCAGCCCGACCTCTTACGACACAAGCTACATGGGCAACATGTGTATGGGTGGAGATGGATCTCTCTCGTCCATGTCATTCGGCCAAGGCTCTGCAGCACCCGCGCAACCCGTCGAAGAAGAAGAGGAGCGTCAGGATCCTAAGAACGAGGAAGCGCAGAAGCTCATGTCATACCATCTCGATAACTATAAGCGCAATAGCCAGTACTGCCTTCCTGCTTCCCTTCGGCCCACGCTGGTCCAGCGAACAGTTCCCCACGGTCAGTTTTGACGCCTGCTGTCCATCCAAAAGCGGCATATTGATTGCCTTATTCGTCTTGACAGAAAGCGTCATTGACCGCATCCCGCATCCCGAGCTACGTGATCGCCTGATCCTTCTCCGTGGACGTTTCAGCCTCGTCGACTGCCTTCATGACTATGCCATGTCTGTGACCATCCATGGTGACGACGTCCTGGCGCACGCAAATTGGGAGATCAACGAGTCATGGCTCCGGAAATATGGGTATGTGCGCCAGCGTACGTACGAGTCTACGTTACTCACCTGCCGTCTTTTTGTAGTTTCCTCGTCGATCAAAATACACTGAATGTCACGAACAAGTGGCGCCGGGAGCGCGGTGCGAGCGAGCTTCAGCTTCGTGATATAGTTCCGCCTGAGGGCCAGAACGCCCAGGCTTCTTAGGGACATCCTCCGGGACTGGTGCTACCAGCTTCACATTGCTACACGAATCGGAGAAGGTGTTTGACCAGCAGCGTTCATTATATGAAGTGTAATTTGTACGACGTGATCCCGGTGGCGATCTGACTAGTGAACTTATATATGATTTGTTTTTGGTACAGCGAGGTATCGGGGAGCGCGTGACTGGAAAGAGAGCGATACAGCAATGACCCGATTCTATCAAGAGCTATTACCCATTTCGAGACGCATGTCAAGGAATTGCGATGTAACGTCGTTGAGCAATCATTTGGAAGCGCCCGGTACATACGTCATATTGTCTCTGGTTAGGGTTAGAGTGCTTCTCAAACGCTTAGCGCGCCACCGAGCCTGTCTTCCGTACATTATTATCCAGCGACTCGTTCTCAATCAATTTACTGTACCAGTCCAGACTAGATGATCACAGGAAGCACAAGAGAATATATCGTGAGTAGTCATACATGTTCGTGTCATAAGCAAGCAACAATACCAGTCGGTTCAGACTCCCTACGACCAGCGGCGGGAGGTAGATCATATACTACAGCGGTAATGTCACGAAATACCCTGATGTGATTGTGAGAGAGGAGAGGAGGCAGCGATATGACGTCAAGAGGATGGATGAGCGGAACGAACAAGCATGAGAGGGGCAGGTCATGATGGAAGCAAGTGCGCGCAAGAGGTAATACAGTGGTATACGATCGGTAACTCATACATAAAACCTAGACCCCATGGTCAGTATTGGTCGAGAAGAGGTATAGAAATGGCGCACTTCTTGTTGATTTGGAAAAGTAACAGATCGAGGTTGAACTTGGCCGCGCCGTTATACAGGCCAAGCGATGCCTTCTCCTCGAACCTCATCTGCAGCAGGTCTTGCATCTTGATATCCTCCGCGCCAACGAGGCTGACCATCCCACCGCCATGAGACGCATTGAGAACCTCGACCTTGAACACGCCAAGCTTATCCGAACTCAAGATGACATCCAGCTTGCCGAACTGTAAGGGCGAGAAGCCGTCGACAGAGAGTAGAATGCCGCGCTCGTAGAGATCCGAGGCGCTATACTTGAATGAGCCGAATTGGGGAGTACGGCCAGCTTTGGCGAGGTCGCGCTGGTGGAAGAACTGCTTCGTGAACGGGAGCGCGATGCGTTTCTTTCTGTAAAATAAGCACTCATCAGCTCTCGTCACGGGTAAGACAGTAAGGGCAACACGTACGTCTTTCCGCGCTGCATTGTCGCCATCGACTGCTCCACGTACTCGCTGTAACTCTCCAACTGCGACAGGTAGTGCTTCTTCCTCTCATTAAGCGAAGCCAACGCCTCCGTCATCCCATCAATCTCCGTCTGCCTCTGTAGCCTCATCCGATGCTTCGACCGCACGTCGTTCGCGATGGCATTCAGCACGCCCTGATACCCGTCCGCGCGTGTGATCTTGCCCTGCTTCTCGAGCTCGAGCAGGAAGTATATCGCGTGCGCTTTGACCTCGCGGAAGGATAACGATCGGATGTCTTCAAGGCGATACGCGCTTTCCTGCGCGACGGCGCTCGGTAGGCGCCCATGACCAGCGCGCATAGGCTCAGCCTCCATCTCGCTCTCGATCACCTCTTCCCACAGAGCCTCGTGCTCGTCCGTAACGGGTTGCATGAGGGCCTCAACAAGGTCCTTGCCCGGCTGTACGCGGAGTATCGCCAACACAGCGCGTTTCGCTTGAAGCCACAGCGCCTTCTCGTCTGAGCGCGGGTCACGAATGTTCGCGAAACGGTTCGTAAGCTCGAGCGTGATGGGCCTCTCACGAGCATCCTTCAGCTGCTCGTCGGCGCCGAGATGTGGTACGCCGTTCAACTCGGCGAGGATCACACGAAGGGGGTCGTCCCGCGTAGGAGCGAGCGCGTCCAGGTGAGCGGAGAGCAATCCGTGCATGGAGTACACCTCGTTCGGTGTGATGTAGATCGGACGTGGTTGGACTGTAGCATCGAGGAAGTCGTGCGCGTGGTAGTGCTCCTCCGCGTCGGGTACAGAAGCAACTTCGGTGAGCCAAGCGCCCATACGCGTGATGGCTTTAGTGACAAAGTCGTTCATGGGGATGTATGCCGGGCTCTGCTCGTCGAATGGGACACCGGATGATATCTGGGTCATGACGCGCGAGACCTGCGCCAGGTTCTTGCGCGTGCCAATGTCCAGCGTTTGCGTTACGATATTGTACGTCTCAGGCGTGATGACGGCAGGATTGATGTAGCGGTAGAACACAAGCCTGCCGACGGCAGCTGGGTGAGCTCCTACTGCCTCGGGGAACTTGGCTTGTGTCGCGGCAAGTAGTTCGCGCGCAAGGAAGCGCACGGCGAATGGCATTCGCTTCGTACTTTGAGTGATTGTATCGACAAAGGCCTCGGTCCACCACGTCAGCGCCTGCAGGTCTGAATTCTGAGTTAGTATACAGCCCCGACGTGAGAACAGTGACGAACGCACGTCGGATGTATTCCCCACGATTAGCCAAATCGGCGATAGCCTGCGTGAAGCTAACATTCTTCAACGCAGGATCCATCGCGACACCCGTCCTCATCTCCTGCCTCTCTGCCCTCGCTCTAAATACTACAACCGGATCCGCCTCGAGATCAAGCTCGGGCTTTGCCAGCATATCCGCCAACAAGGGCGCGAGCGTCTCACGCAGATGCGCAGCCTGCTTGTGGCGGAGATAACCCAGGACAACGTTGATCCATACGCGCTGGCCGCGTCCAACGACCTCTGCCAGACTCTGTGCGTGGTTGACCTCTTCAATGACGGCGTATTGCAAAACCTTCAGCAGCAGGAAGTCCTCTCTCCTATCGCTCCCGTATCCGAACAACGTCAACACGACTCTCTCCAGCGCCCGTCTCTCCTTCTCACCCTTCCCTTCCTCGCTCATAACCCTGAACAGCCTTCCCAGATACTCTCCCCTAGCCTGAAGCAAGTAGAACAGCTGCTGATACAGCTCAAGCTTCCGCCTCGCCTGCTGATCCAACGTACTCGGTCCTGCGAACGGGTCGCCGTGCGCTGCGAGGATTGATGCACGTGCGGCATGTACAGCAGCTGAATCGGTCCCATACCGCCGTCGGGCGTCCTTGAGCTCCTCGAACGTCTTCGCATTATTGACTACCAGCGCGATCTTGACGTCCATAGCAGCCACATCCGTCTCCAGCGCCTGACACTCCCTAATCCTCTCCACAACGGCTTTCCTCGCTCTCTCCAGCGCAAGCTCCTCCGCAAAGTCCGCCTCGCTATCGTCGAGGAGGTGCACGAACGACTTGAGCGCGCCGACAGAGACGTTCGTGCCGAGCGTGAGCTGCCGGTACTGCTCCCTCGTCTCCTTCGCACGGAATAAAGCCTGGATCTTGACGACTTTGGACATGTTCGCACGGTAGTGCTCCATCTTCTCTTTGAACGCTCGCCGTTGCATCAAGCCCCTGAACAGCGCTTGGAGATGCGTAGCGGCGGGCTCGCTGGAGCGGATGTAGTCCCTCCACGCCGTCCACTCTTTCCTTAACAACGCACCCCGAGCGGCAGCTTGCAGACCCGTAACATCCGGCGCGGCAAAGCTCAGCGCCTTCGTCGTCTCTGCGTGTCTCGTCCGTGCAATCGCCGCGCGCGCACGAGCTTGGAACGAGCCGACGGCTTTCGCAACCTGCGCATGCCCCAACGCCTTCCTCATCTCCTCCCGATGCTTCATCGCGATCTTCGCCCTAGCCCTCGCCTGCACCTGCACCAACAAAGGCGTCGCGGCTCTCAACGCACGGATGAGCTTCAACAGCCTCTTGCGGGCCAAATAAGACCTCAAGAACGACTGTATCCGCACCACGACGTCCGTGACATCGTCCAGCCTCGCCAACTGCCTCCCCACCCGTCTCCTGACCAGCATCCCTCTCAGCTGCGCCTGCAACGCAACCCACACGTCCTCGTACTGGTCGATCGCCGCGAGCCGTACGGCCACGCCCCGTCTGATGAGCATACCCCGCGCAGCAGCCTGGATGCCGACAATTGCCTTTGTCTGGGTGGGCGCGGTGTAGACTTTCATTTGTGCGGCTTGCGCGCGCTTGACGAGGCGGGCGCGGGCGAGCGCTTGGAACTTCGGCACGGCCGGGCCGACGCGCACCAGGGCGCCCTTGAGCTTCGCGAAGCGCGCACGGACGAGGTAGCCGCGAGCGTGCGCCTGGAAGCGCACGAAGGACGGCGTGTGGTAGTGGATCCTGTCGAGCTGCACGTCGACCTTCCTCCGCACGAGTGCCCCGCGAGCGGCAGCCTGTAGTGCGCGCACGAACGGGACAACGGAGCGGTGGTCCCTCCTGGCTTCGCGTACCGAGGCTCGTGCGAGCGCACCGCGAGCTTGGGCTTGCAGACGACGGATGTATCGGCCCGCGAGCTGGAACTCTGTCGCCTGCGTGCGATGCGCTTTGCGTACGAGGAACGCTCTCAGCGTGCTCTGCAGTTCGACAATGGATCCCTCGCATTCCAACAACATCCTATCCCTCCTCTCCTCCTCCGTCTCCACTTCTTCTTCCTCTTCCGGCTCAGGATCGTTCATCTCCCTCGCCAAGCTCTTTCCAATCGCACCGAAGTTCGGCATAGCGACGCCTGCCGCGGTGAGGCCACGTCGAGTTTGTTCGAGTTGGTCGTCGGAGAACTTCAGTTGACCGAGGAGATTGCCGATGCGCTCTGCGCGGCCGAGACGGGCGAGGAGATGGGAGAGGGCGTGGATGCAGTAGATGACTTTCGGGAGGTTCTTCTTGTTGTAGAGGTCGGTCGTCTCAAAGATAAAACTCTGTGAAGCGCGGTTAGCGCTGTGGCAAGGAAGACATATGGCGGTGTATCACCTCCGGCAACCCGATGGTAGGGTCCCGCACGAACACGAAGAACGCGTTAATATTGTCCGAATGTCTCCAATCTGGGTACGGCGTCTAAATGGTCATCATCAGCGCTTTCGTCCTGCCTCACAAACACAGAGATGCAAGTACCTCCCAGATCTTCGGTACACTCCCCTCGCCCATGAACACCCTGACCAGCTTCGCCAAGACCGCTCCATTCCTCAGTCCCTCCTCCATCTCCACGACACCGAACCCAAGTTCCTGCCCTAAACAGCCCTCGATCCACTGTTGCGCCTCGCCGACGTGACACAGGTACTCGTATGCCTGAAGCAAGTGTCGTTGGGTGTCCGCCCATAATCCCCATCGCAGTTTCCCACTTGGTACGGGTAGGGATGCTGCATCGGCTCGTGATGCGCGGGATAATCGTAGACGGCCGGAGACGCCGGTAACGGGTGCAGAAGAGGGCGCCACCAATCCTGCACGATGAGGCGCGGGTGCACTCGCTAGCTTTCCCTGCAATCGTCGTTCCAGCCTCGATCTTGTAGGTGGTGGCGCCGCGTTGTACGGCTCAGGTTCTGGCGCGACCCAGTCATCGTCTGCATCACCTGACGCAATTCGTGGAAGGTGTTTGCCCAGCTTGCGACCCGCAGAGAGGTGGTCTGCATATGGCTTTCGAGAACGGGGCGTGGGAGTGTACGGTGCGGGAGACATCACTGAAGAGGACGACGGCTCGGGGGTGGGTTTGGAGGGCGAGGGCGGTTCATGTACTATAGTTGGCGGCCGATGTAGACGGGAAGAGTGAAATGGCTCGGGGTGCATGGCCGAGCCCGAGCTGGACGGCAGACTCGATGTCGACGACGAAGACGAGGGAACATAGGGCACAGGCGGTTTATCGGGCGAAATAGACCTGTGTCGAGCGATCCGAGGCGGGATGTCCCGTTCAGGCGAGGCAGCGCGTGGGGGAGGAGCGACGGGCTGAGCAAAGACATCCGTCGGTTTCGCATAAGCGCTCGAGCCGTAGAGGGAGATCGGACGCGCGCGCTTGGGCGTCTCCACGGGCGTGGTGGGCGTGGGCGGCGCGGCTGCTTCGAATTGGGCGCGGATCTCGCTCGGCTGTGGGAATTTGTTGTAGAGCGACGTCGGGCGCTGCCGAGGCGTGCTCGTGCTCGCGCCCGATGTTGAGGTCGAAGTAGTGGCCGCGCCGGACTCGAACTTGGATATTGCGCTCGAGACGGAGCCGTTGCGGGTGAGACTGCTGTTCGAACGTGCAGAGTCGGTGCGGGTGAGCGTGGAGCCAGAGGAGGTGGAAGAGCCGGTGTTCTGGGAGTATATGGTGTCGAGAGTGTTCGCGCGATGAGGACGGGAGGGGATGTGCATGCGATCGCCAGACACCTCGTCCTGCACAGTCACTCCCGTGCTGTTCGGCGACAGCGGAGTCGCGACAATGGGCGGAGGGACGCTCTGGCGCTTCAGATACGTCGGCGCTCGTTCGCCATAGTCCGCCGATCTCCGGCCAATCGTGTCCTGCGGCGGCGTCGAGGGCGACGGCGGCGACGCGGCCTCTGCCTCGCTCGACTTTACGCGTTCGTCCCACTTCCCACGCACGAGGTCCAAGCTACCGCCCACCCTGTGCGCGGGCGCCCATCTCCGAGTAGCAGTGGCCGAGCCGGTAGAGCCGATGCTGGCTATCGACCCAGATCGACCGAGAGTCCCTCCGCGCCCTGACGACGTCCGTTCGAGCAGCCGTTGCTGGTACGCGAACGACCCAGTGGGCTTGCTCGACGTCGGCGTCGACGGCTCCATCGTCCTTCAATGTGGCTTCGCCGTCGTGGGCGTCAAGTGTCGAGGTGCAGATCAAAGCCGTGGTAGTAAAGTCAAACCAAACAAGCGCCCGTTCAAGCTCGCGCGCCCGACGTCATGCCGCTTTAGGACGCCTCTCGGCCCCGGCCGATCCTCGTGCTATCGACTTTCCTTCTGGCCTTGCCCTTAGCCCCCGTCATAGCTCAGCCGTATGTAGCAGCCAGGACGAGGTCGATGCAGTCTGAGTCCTGCCGCGCAATCGTATAGTCCGTGCATGTTCTCTCCCAGTGACCACCATCTACGTCGCGCCTGCCACTCAACTATGACTATCGTCCGTATACGACACAGATACACAGTCCTATTATTACAACGCGTGGCCTATTGAGTCGTACGTGGGTGATTAGCCGTAGCTGTAGCGCTTGACTTGTCGTTGATCCGTCGGCGCGTGTCGTGGGTTGGCAATCGTGCGTCTGGTTGCCCTGGACTACCTCCCCCATCTGCGGTGTCATTCTCTGCCCTTGAAAGACCAAAGCCGTCTTGCTCTGTGGAACGCGAGCCGGAGTCTACCCGAATACCTGCAGACTCGTCTGCTTTCTCGATCCTATATGGGATCGGTCCATGCATGGGGCCAGGAGGTGCATAGGAGGCCTTCAAAGCTACTGCCCACGGAACCGCGCCTCCGGGTAGGTCGGCTGGGGCTGGTCGTTCCACGACCGCTGCCATCGAGTCGCTCGACCTATCAGGATGCCTAGCGCCTATGAATGTCGATGCCAAGTTTGTGTCCGTTTCCTGACGGGGTGTCGTATGTTCACGCTTCGTCGTACGTGCAGTCGTAGTCGATAATAGTGGTGATGCTAGTGCGTCGGGATCTGAACAGGAAGTCCGGCGATCGGGGTCGCTTTCCATCTCGCTCGGCCATTCGAAAAAGCGTACTAGACTAGTACTGCCGCGGTCCAACACGTTCTCACTGCCCTCCGCCCTCCTGTAAAAATCTATGGTGGGATCCCGCTCATAGCTGTACACAATGTTGCCATCCTCCCCGCGAGTAATCGTGCCGAGGTTCGGTGCGCCTTTCAAGGACAGGTAGTAGAGGTGTACCCGAAGCATGCGTACACCGTCTCGAAGCCCGTGAAACGAGCGACTGAGATCAAGACTCTTGTCCACGGCGGTGTCGGTCAAGTAGATCGACAGGGTGTCCAGACCCGCGTCTGGACGTTCCTCGCATAGCACGGGCTGTACGTTATAGTGCCGGAACGGACCTGCAGTCCATGCGAAACAGACTTGGAAGACCGCCTCTCGATGGATCTTCCACACGGACGGGACGCCGTTGGTCTTCGCGGGCGGATATGCGTCCCAGCAGAATCCGGTAAGCCAAGCTTTGCGTACGTCCTGCAGGTCGATCCCATTAGTTGTACGTCAACTGCAAACCAATATCGATCTCACCTCGATGAACCTCTCCCAAGCCATCGTGGAGCGCATACCACGATTAAGGAGCTCAGCTGGTATTCCCGCCTTGTTGCTCGCATCGATATCGTCCAACGCAATCACGCGAAACGCTTCAAAGGAGTCCATCACAGGTTTTGCTGGTGAGTATGCGGGCGAAGACGAGACAAGAGGTGATGGGAGGAATACATCGGGAGGAATGCGAGGTGTGGGGACGTGACGAGTGGCCGAAGGTTGGGGCGACCGAGGTATGACAGGTGGCTCTAACGGCGCAAGTGGTTGCAACGGCGTGGGCGGTCGGAAATGTCGCATGTCGAGAGTAGGATGTGGAGCTGGTGGCCTAAGGCTTTTGTCTTTCCACTTTTGGTCCATCTCCGCGCCGTAATGGCGAAGAGTATTGAGTGTCGCCAGGAAACAAATGCCGCCGAGACCGACAACACAAGTTATAGCGATACGTGTCCCCAGTGCGACTCTCGCGGATTGAGCACCTGACCCGGCATTCGCGATCCAGACGAAGGATAGGATGGCAACCATGAAGGAGATGAGTGACCACATTAGCCAGACGATCGGCATAGCCAACAGTACCCAGACGTTCCACAGCGAGTTGATTTTGCTATTTCGAGCCGCCTGCAAAGGACTTCGTTCAGCCTTTTGTCAACGGGGTGGGGGGAATAGGGTGCCACCTCCGCCCAACCAGCAGCTCGCCGAAGCCTCTTCGACATTTGCGCAAAGCGTATGATATACACGGACGAATATACGATGCTCCAAAGGGCGCATACCAATGATAATATACCAGCAGTACGCGTGACAGGTTCATTGAGAGCTCCGTCTAGAGCCAGCAAGGCAAGCACAGCACTGTGAAACGTTGAGTTTGACTCATGGGCATCGTCATAAGGAGGACAAGATTGCTTACGCCGACAGAAGCGCAGAGACAACGTTGAGTGCCCTCCATTCTTCCAATAGCGTAGCGATGAACCCATCCCAAGATGTTCGCAGGGTATCCAGCTGCCATATCATCCCGGCTATGAATGGTATCAGCGGTGCAGGCGAGTTGAGTCACAGCGCATACAGTACCTGGGAATGGGAGGGCCGTACAATCCGAGGGGTAGCTGATACTGTTTCGTAACGACCGCTTCGCTAAGCTCGGCGACATCGATGATGCTCTTAATGCGTGACGAGTACGAGCGAGGTAGGTGTAGTAGAAGGAGCATATAGATCTCCCGCGGTAGGTTGACGATGAGCCATCCTGCTTGATTCAACAGAACCTTCCGCAGGCTGGTCCAATTGATAGAGATATGGATTCGAGCTTTGAACGACTTTAATTTGTACTTGTGATCACTTCCTCTGCCGGATTCGGCAAGAGGTGCGCGATTATATGCCTCTGAGTCGTGAAAGCCTATCGGCGATGAACCACCTTCGAACGCTCCAATCAGAGACGCTCTTATTAACGGTCAAGGCAGCAACTCTTACCTGAGTCGGGTCTCGTTGATGCGCGATGTTGACCTGGCATCTCCATGCGGTGATACCGCTCTTGCTCCGCGGGCTCCTGATTCGAGCGCATCAAAAGATCTGAGAGACTTCCTGCGTGACCTCATATTCATAGATCATGAGCGCCGCACGCTACACCTGAGTGAATACACTATACCTAGGGTGCAGCTGGATGTATACCTGGAGAGACGCCGGGAATGAGCGCACAGAGGTCAGTCGCAGTGCAATTTTTGACTTTAGTATTATACTCACGAGCGGCGATGGCATCAAGCTACTTGTTGTCATGCTCTCACAAAGGCAGTGCGAGGCGATACTTCCAGTCGCGTCTTGGGGAACGATGGGCCTGATAACGCCCTGACTGTAGTCCTCTTTGCATTCGCGCTGATATCTGAGTTTGCAAAGGGCGTCAGTAATACAGCACTGGAAACTTTCTCGATTGTGGCCTATCATATGCGGTGTATGTAGAGCTCAACGAACATTCCGAAAAAGAGCCGACACCATCGTCACCGTGTGTTCGAGAGCAAGTGCCTGCAAGGGCGCCATATGCTGAGGGCCAGGTATCCCCACCTACTTCGTCTGCATTGTACAGTCAAGCATTCAATAGAGCTTGCACCTCCTGCTTCATCACGCTATCACGGCCGTTCGAGTCCAATCAGTTGATTCGGCATGGTGGAGGTGGTGGGTGTGGACCAAGTATTGTCGACGCGTACGAGCTGGGTGACCGTGACTGGTCACGACGCGTCTTGGTCGCCGTCGAGCTTTTCTTGACACTCTCAACGCTCCCTCTGGCTTTGACCTTCATCTACGCGTATAGAGCTTTTGAAGCTCACCAGAAGCGCGCATGCATACCCGATAACACGAACTGCTTCTCTTGCTCTCGTTGTTTCTAAGGCGCCTTCTCAATCGCCGACTGCTTGCCAACTTCTATCCAACTCCTTGACGCGTCGAGCGCGCTTAACCAAGCGTCCGCCGATTCTTGCGGTCATCCGGCGCTTACGGTGCGGCACGAGATGTCCGAAGACAGACAGCCCAATGAAGCGCGCTTGAGCCGCAAAGGGAATGCAGCGCCTCCCACTGTCCGCTCCTCGGCTCCGGTGACGAATTGGCGCGATGACCGCGGTTTGCGTGCTCATGGTCCATCTACACATGCTCGGAGGGGCTGGGACGATCGCGGGTCTCATCACGAACCATCTCATAGCAGACGAGAAGAGCGGCGTGGCCAATCAGACCGAGGTCGAGATCGCCGTTCGTCGTACCGTGACTCAGCAGACCGACACTATTCCCCCCATCCGATATCTGCCGCTGCCCCCAGGCCACATTCTCGACCGCGATCACACTCGCGCGTCAAAAGCACCAGGTCCAGGAGTCGGAGCACCTCCCCCGTGCGTCGTGGTCGATCATCCAATGGCACCTCGTCTAGGCCAACGAGGAATATGTCACCTCTACCACCAAGAGGCCCTCGCTATCCCGACGAAATGCCCGTGCCCGGTACAGGCACTCGTCGCTCACGCCATTCATCCCCCGCACGATCCCCTCGTACACCGTCCACATCTCTATGGACGCCCACTGGAGCCAACGGAACAAAACGGCAGCGCATCTCGTCGAGAGACAGAACCCCTCCGCGCGCTCGGGAAAGCCCGCGCAGTTCACGATTCGATGCGGAAAACGTCTCCCATGCACCATCGCCGCGCACCCGCTCAGAAGATACCTTACGGACACCTCCCGGGCAATTCTCAGTCAAGTTCATGATCCCTCCAGAAGCTCTGGGCGTCTCCAAGTCATCCCTCAATCATCGTAAAAGCTGGTTTCTTAGTAGACGACGAGAGGTAGAAAGTGATGGCGCTCGATTCACGACTTGCCGGTGGTTCGACGACCATCTCATTGTCTTTGCGAAACACCCGACAGCTCGAAGTCCCCCCAGAACGCACGCCAACAATGCCGGACCTCGAGATCAGCCAGCACCATGTCCTCAGGAGCCTTATGTCTACTCTTTCACATCAGGGACGCTGAGAATCTCGAAACCGACATTGATGGCGGAGAACGCAAACGTACATACACCGACTGCATCCAGTCCCATCAATCAGGTTCATTCTACGCCGCCAAGAGTAGCACCACATCGTGCAGGGATACCTCCACCTACCTCTGCCACAACACGGTCACGACCCGTGTCTTCTTCCGCGTTGGTCGTTCCGCCGCCACCAGCGCCTGCTCCTTTCACCCGGCCTCCTTCATCAACTGCAGCACCTACACCTCGCATCATCTCAGCTTCACGTTCAATATCTGCATCTCACACTGCTCCGCCCTCTGCACGTCACACACCTTCTCCCGGCTCTGCTCCCGCTATTCGATCTTCTGCTGTCGCACGTTCTCAACCTCTGGCCTCACCTCCTCCAGCAATTGCTATCCTTTCATCCCCTAGCAATATGCGCTCGTCGTCACCAGGATACTCTCCACGCCGCCTCATCCCTCGCTCATTGTCGCCCCTACCTGAGACCGAAGTGGATATGCGCGCCACGCACGCAAGTGGCTCAACTCAACGGCCAAGCTCAACTCGCAAACCCTCCGCATCTCAACAACCACCTGCGAACGAAGTCATCTTGATCTCCTCGGACGACGACGGACGCCGGTCGTCCTCGTCCTCTTCATCAGATGAAGAGGACGAACTTCCTTCTCCTCGCAATGTAACCCTCACGCTGCGACGGAACTCTTTCTCTCCACGTTTCACCCCATCACCGCCGCCATCCCCTGAACCCGACCTGGGCAGTTTACCCACAGACGAGTTTGAGATGAACGTGGAAGCCACAGTGTCATTGCCCAACGACAATAAGCGCGATAAACCTCGTCGAATACTCGTCGATCGACCAAGTGGAAGTGTATTCACGGTGATGTATCACGGTTTCGTCGATCGCTATGGTCGTGCCTCGCGGTGAGCACTGCTTCGTTCTTTAGCAGGATACAGTGTACTGACGGTACACCCAGTCGGCGTACAAACGTATACGTGCCTCCGGTACCAGCCAAGGAACATGCGGAGGACGCTTGTGCAATCGAACTCCGCGACAGTATGCATATACTCGTGGCTCATAGCCATCTGTCAGGCGGGAAGGAGCTCACTCTCGTCTCACGGTCCGGAGACGTATGTTGTCAGTGTCATCCGCGAGTTGATTCTGATTATGCCGCAGGTTCACCACTTCAAGCGGAGGTTGAGACCAGGCGACAAGGCAGGCGCGAACGCAGTATGCGCTCTACCGAACCCTCGGCGCTTTGTCGCGGCAGGTGCTGACCATGCCATCTACCATTGGACAATCACGGCCACGGCGCCGCCATCATCAGCACGTCTCGACTCAGATTCGGAGGACGAGTTCAAGGCGGGTTTCAGCGCACATGAACGCGTGTTGCCGTATAAGCACACAAGCGCCGTACACGCCTTGCTCCCCCTGACCAACACGCTTCTCGCATCTGGCGGTGCAGACTGCGCAGTGCGGATCTTCGATATGGGCGCCCAGACTCTGGCGCACACGCTGAGTCCGAGCAATGCCGTTCACAACCTTCATTCGCTCGCATCCACACATCGTAATAGCATATTGCTGGAAGTCTCGCATAAGGAGCTTCAATTCGAAGTACGCGATACGCGACTTGACAAGACCTCACGTGTATCGCGCTTCGGGTGGGACGCGGGCAAGACCAGCGGGAAGTACGTTCGTGGAGCGGTACGAGGCGATGTATTTGCGTGTGGAGATCGTGAGGGCGTGGTACGGGTATGGGATTTACGCAATACGCGCAAACCCATTGAAATAGTACGCTATCATCACATTGTTTCAAGGAGAAACTTTGTACTGACGAGTACTCTCCTGTAGAAGAGTCTATTCCGAGGCGCCAAGGTCGTGCAGGTTGCTTTCGATGGCGGAAGGATGTACGCTGTGTCTGAAGGGAACGAGCTTGCATTCATCAATACCTTATAGCGTGCGCATAGTGTGGATCCTTCTCAAAATGTATAGCATATTAGCGTACTATAATGCCTGCAGCATAACTGTTGATTATGTTGCAGATTAATGCGGCCGCGCTTGCAACGGTACACCGCCGGAGCGATCCAAGGTTGGGTCAAGGTTGGCGTCGGCCAACCTTGAGCCGATAGTCAGATCAACACCAAGCGAAGTTGCTCTGACCGATCCGGCGTTAATACCGGATGCTTACCCCTCGCTCAATGGCGCACGCCCGCGCTTAGCCGAGCATAGACCCCAAGGTTGAGCGAAGGTCCAAGGCTGCCTTGAGACGATAATGGCCGGCCAATCTCGTGGCAGGTGTAGAATGCCAGGCTGACCCAAATACCATATTCTCCCTGACTTACTAATCGTACCAGAATCTGATTATTTCTCTTGATTTTCACTCGATTTCATTATTCGCACAGGTATCCTTGTGACAGGTCGGGAGCAAAAATCAATATTATATTCAAGTATAAGATGGTACAGTGGATGACTATCTACAGTACAGACAAGACAGGAGTAAACAAGATCGATGCAAAACCTTCGGGGCAGTAGACGTAGATTCATATTACAAGCAGTACTTAGCGACAGTACCTATTATGGACGGCTTCAACTGGTGTGGGGTAGCGACCAGGATCGAGCAAGGACGAGGACGTTATTGTATGGCTGCCTTGAACCGCGCGGCAACCAGGTTCGTGCCCTAATCGCGTGAACTTACCGAAGCAAGCTGAGTACATCACGACGCTGCACATGGGACACGTCAACAAACTGTGTGGAGCTGTCAAGAGAGATGATTACGTACCGAATACCCGGCATCCTTCATCGACGTCGACGGTGCTACTGCCATAGAGCATAATCAATTTGCACGGCAGTCGGGAGTAGGGAGGTGGCTGAGCAGCGAGGGGAGCAGGCACTTGGTGGATCGCTGGTGGGAGGTGACAAGTCGCTTTGCCCGAGGCGCGAGTCATCGAGCAGCTGTTTCGTTGGGGTTTCTCAGGGTTTCTCACCCTCGGCCGCGGTCACTTGGATCCGCCGCACGCGCCGTTTGCCTCTGACGCTCAACGCTCACTCTTGCTCATCTCTTGCCTTCGCCTTTGACGTTTCGAGAACATGGCGGATTGACCTCTACCTTCTCATATCGTGCTGTAGGGCTGGTTCTGTCACAGACTGCCCTCAAATGTGAATATCCACATGCTATGATACCCGTAATCCGATAGATCCCAGTGCCACCCCCAGCATAGGATCACACAATGTGTAACCTCAGGCGAAGGGTACTAGGGCCTCCCAAGGGATGAGCGTGGTGACTGTCAGGATAGTGCTAGTAAGTACTGGAGCTGCATATCTCTAGTGCTTATTTTGACCAACGACGCCGCAGATGAAACAAGTCTTATCACGCACGCAATAATTCGCAATGTCGTATGCCAGCATCCTATACAAGTCGCTACTGTCAATGCAGCCTGGTGTATCAACCCTCTTTA